AGAAGAAAAAACAGATAGTTAAACATACTAATAAATATCAGCAGTCAGAACTTCAAGCACTGGCTTCAAAGTACTGTTGAAAGGACTTCTCTACTAAAGAATCTTATTACAGAGAGTCTATACAATCTTCCAAAAGAGAAAGTAAGAGCTCTACAAGCATCTCTAGCAAGATATTAGACTCTCTAGCCAAGAAATCTACTGTTGACATTTCTTTAAATTTTTTCCTATCTACCCTCCAAATCTCTCACTCTGGTCATAATATTAGACTGTCCACCTGTTTATTTTCCTAACTATACTAATTTCTATGCTTTAAAGAATACATTTATTTAATATTTAATAGCTATTTAATAATAAAGATCTGGTTGTTGAGATATTTAATAAATTCATTGCGTGGAGCATTTGGCGAAATTTGGCTCGTTTAGTGGTGTGGCTCATTTAGTGGTGAACTACCTTAACACAGCCGAGGTACAGCCACTGGAGAAATAGTCGAAAACTTCGATTTGATACAACTCCCTCAATCTCTTCCAGTACTGCGGACTGTTCTTGCCCTTCTTTGAACTTCCCATTAAACATTCCTGCAAAATATGGTGAACGGCTGCAAAGAAGTGTCTTAGACACATCATAGGCTGTGGGTCCTATTTTTATCTTGACCATAGAACCATGATAAAGAGGTAGGGAACTAAATCAAAAACATCAGGACTGAGCTTAGAATGATATATATTCGCATACGGAGTAGTGTCTTATCTTACACACGCAAGGTAAGTTAGATCAGTGTTGCGCTGAGCAAGATATGATTTCAAGAAGCCATAGCAGTATAGGCTTGCTTGGAATATTTATAGGATAGCTACGGTCACAGTAACCAATCTTTGGCAAAAAGAATCAAAAATGGACTTTCAACTAATATTCCAACTTACAGCTTCAGCAACAGCCTCAATCTGTTCAGGAGCAAGCCTTGCGTTCTGGCTCCTGTCAATTGAGGGTCTGAGCCAGCCAGGGCTGAGCAAGAAATGACTCATTCTTATTCAAGCTACTGTAAATGGAATTATCATCTTCGGTTCGCTCGTCTCTGTTTTCCTCGCAATTCAAGTAAACTATGAGAAGAGTAAGTGGCCCAGCTATTTGATGTCCATTGCCCTTAATTATGTTTTAGATTCGTTCCACTTGATACTCGATATAGAGACAGGCTGCGTGCTGATTTTGCTTATTTTAAACGAGGTGAGAGTGATACGATAGAAAAGAAAGGCGATGCTGACTTTTGACAGTATCTAAGTGTGTCTACTTTGCAGGACAGAACAACTCATATAGTGGCTGGAATCTTCATTATGAGTGCAATGGCCGCCCTCTCACTTTCAATATACCTATCGGTGCGCTTTCATCTCGAGAAGCCAACGTACGGCGAAACTTGATATAGGTGATTAGGATGCCACAAATTTCCATGTTGCTCTTATTTCCCGATGAAACAAAACCGTGAATTTTAGGTACCCGAATTTTGTCGTTTAGCCCTAACTGATGTAGGCGGAGCAGTGTCTTGATTTCGCGTTCGCTATGTTTTAATAGCTCTCGATAAGCTGGTTTGAAAAATTGCTCCTTTCCCTCATTACCCACAAGCACTCTTGAAGGTCGTAATGGTCTTTCATGTTCCGAATCCCAGGGTAATTTCACCTTTGAAGGTTCGAGTAGAGGAACGCTAGCACTCATAGCAGTATACGACAACGAAAGGCGGGTTCGAGGCATAAGGTCATCCGGTTTGTGTGAGGATTGGATTGCAGTTAGTTTGCCATCATTGACTGTTATGGTCAAATGAATTGCTGGTGTTGTGTAATATTCCTCTAAGGTTATTATCCGCGGCTCAGTTGGACGAGGCGCCAGGGTACGGAAGTGTGCAAAACAAGCCTTTGCCATCCAGTAGCACATCTCCTCCATTGGGTCTGGTTGGCCAGGCTTAAACTGGAAGTCATCGTTATCCATAGACAAGAGGTCCTTTATCAAACCACAAAATTCACGTTTGATTGCTGGACACTCCTCCATGTTTTTGGCTAGGGCTAAAATATCGAAGCGCCTATCATAGCACATCACAGTCATTTCGGTTTTATCTTTATCACCACACCAAAAGTTGACAATATCGTATGGCGGATCAGGATGCGGAGTGGCCTCGGAACTTTCATTAGAAGTCATCTTAGCAGGACAAGATGATTTCGGTGGAGAGAGAGAGAGTGTGTGTGTGTATATCATATTTTTCGTAGGCCTTATGCAGTCAGAGACTATAAAGGCCACACTATCTGTCCAACCAGTTACAGACATGTGTTCTTCTTAATATAGAGACTTCAGTTAAGTCATTTCATTTAACTAAGCTCAAACTGCATATAATTTCCAGAAAAGATTATATCAGATCTCTTACAACTTGCATTATTCTTCTGATTAGAGCTATATCTCAAGAGAAAACTTGCAAAATCTTGAATATAACTAAAGTATCTTGATATTTTGCAAATTAATAGAAAGTACATAATTTAAATGAATTATTTTGTAAATCACACAGATCCAGTACATCTTATATCTAACTTATATATATTTCTGATCTATAGCAATCAATTATAACTGCCAACAGAATAGCATCTGTTCTCCTAGGGAATGGGATTCCCCATGGTAAAGATTTCTTTTTTGATTGAGGCAAGATTCAAACTCACTATCTTCTGTTTGATGTGGTCAACTCCCCAATCAACAGAACACCTACTTACTTCAGAAGAATTCCAGACTGGCCCTTTACCACTCAGCCAACCACCCCACCAATTTCAGTGGATTTGCACAGGTAAAAAACATTCTTATGTTGAAAAGGGGGATGTAGGCGGCTTTAGATTTAAGATGTATTTTGGCCCAAACACGTGATTATCAGCGCATCAATAGCCCGACCAATCAGTGCGGTAACATAGGGCTCAAGGATAGGCAAGTTTTCAATTTATTGGACAGTGAGGATACTTTTACAGCAGAGATTAACACCACTTCCAGATGTTAGGCACCATTAAGACCCACACAAATAACCTTTGTAACCTTATACATAAGCGCCAACTCTAATAATAACATCACAACTTGGTCAGTTGGTTGGTTGGTTGGTTGTCAAGTCCCTTTGACAGGATGATGATGGTTTGTGTCGCTCATGCTTTATTAGGATGCATACATTGCGTTTAATGATGCTCCTGCTTGGGAGCAAACTCATCCAATGTCAATGTATTACGCGCCGTACTGAGATTGTTGAAGCTATATAAAGGGTAATGAAGTTGAGGAATGGAAGCCAGAGCTCAGCACATCATCTAGCACATCATCTATATCATTCATTAAATCTGATCAACATTGTCACTGGCCGAAAACAATTCTCGCTATGTGTGGTAGAAACAAAAGACGGTTCCGATGCGGGCACGATGGATACTTCGGCGGTATCAATTATTGCGAAAATTCCACTACTGGCCCATCTGGCAGGAGGATCATGTGTGATGAGCAAAGGTTGACATCGATGTTTACGAGCTCGGACTATTGTGGAAAAGCTGATTGTTTGCTGTCCCTCAATCATGGCACTGAAACTGGCAATCGCCACCCTCTGTGTGATAACGGAGCTTGCAACCATGAAATTTGTGCTAATTGCCAGCCTGCTCGATAGTGTATGTCAGTTTCTCTTTTTTGTACATGTCCTTCCGAGTTGGGGAATGTTGAAACAATAAGTAACCAACCATGCAGCTACTTAGGCTGCGAACCAACCATCCCACATATCGACGCCGGCGCATATCAGTCGTTGGTCGCTTGGTAACGTGCCACCACATGATCGCCCGGCCAGTTTCTACGGGTAAAGAGCAAAGTTCAATTTGCACCACAGGCCCCACTCTCATATTCAGCAGACATTTGGGGTCTGGCCACAACACTCTGGGAGATTCTCAGTATGAAGGCCATTTTTAGTAGAATTTGCAACTGTGGGTGAGGTTGTCTCTCAGCAAATTGATGTGCTGGGACCACTGCCCTTAAGCTGGTGGGAGCACTGGGATGAATGGAGTCAATTTCTTTAACCAGCATGGACATCCAAAAGAGGGTTGGGATGTGTGGCCTCCAATCAATGAAGCATTTGAAGTATCGACGGAAGCGTGGGATAGGTGAGTTTGACAGTGAGGAAGCGGCTGCTATCTTAGACTTGATGCATTGAATGCTGGCATTCTCGCCGGAGGAGCAAACCATCAGCTGAAGAAGTCCTCACGTCGGAGTGGATGATCAAGTGCATATTTGCCTGATTTCAAGTGCAGTTTGCAGATAAAGGAGGCACTGACAATAAATAGTGTACTAGTAAATTGCAGGAATGCATAGGCTAATGGGACAGCCAGGAATCTCTCCAAGATGCCCGGAACATTACACAAGTGGTTGATCTCATTCCTTCAGAGCTTGGAGAAGCAATTTCCCTTCACTTTAATGCTAGCTGTTCTATTCATTCACTCAGTGTTTCTACAGTATAAATCATCACTCCACTACTACTTTCCCCCTACCTACCCAAGCCGCCATCTGACCTCCGACACTACAATTCCGACAAAGATGCGTTGCTCTTTCATACTACTACTACTGCACGTATACTTCTCACTTGTCAATGTGGGCTGCTCGCATCACCACCACAAGTGATAATGCAATGATGGATCATATTCCTCCAAGATATTGTCAGAACCTCAACATGAGACGAACCAAGGGTTATTTTATACTGAAATATGCAACCACTTCTCCAAAATCCCACAGGCTGAAAAGAGAAAAACACCAAGGAACTATATTAACTGCACAATGTACTTGGGATGGATAACAACAATAGTGAGGAATGCTAGCAGATAAATATTGAGAAAGACTTGTCCCATTTATGAGACCAGCTACTCCTGGAACCTGATGCCTGATCTGAAAAACTATCAAACCAGTTTATCCGTCGATTGTTTACAAGAGGCATCGATTAAAAAACAGGTCAACTAATTTTAGTCTGAGGTACTCTTCTCCGCACAGTCCAGATGAATTCCAAAATAAGAGCTAAATAATATAAACAAATATAATAATAATAATAATGATGATGATGATGATGATGATGGTGGTAAAAGAAAAAAAATTATCCAAATAGTGTCAAAATATGTATCCATCAAATCCGATCAAAAAGCCATCATGTCAAAAATTTTCAGCCCTCACATGGAGAACCCTAACTCATCCCTCCGGTCATCGGTTAGCCTAGCCCATTCCAGCAGCAAACGAAACATATATATCTCCATATCCTCTTTCCTGAGAGCTTTTTCCGCCCATTTTTTCCCTTCCTCGGCAATCTGCCTCCCTTCATGTTCATGTGCTTTCATGATCGTCTTCCTCGTTTTCCCATTTTCATCAAGTTCCCTTGCGCCCGCAAAATATGCCAACGTGCTGTAAAAATCATGCAACCTCAGATCCTGGGGGACAAAATGCAACCACGGCGTAAGACGTGAGTCCAGCCACTGACGGAACAGTGCAGTGCGGAATGGTAAGCTGCGACTCCTGAGGAACGGGAGAAAGCGTCCGCTAAACCCGGCGCCATCCATGTCAAAGAGGAATCTGTATTTCCAGTGGTTTTGGAAATCCGTGCGAGGAACGGTGCCGAGCTCAGAGGTCTGTGCACTGCAATCTGTTCTACCACAACGGGCTACGGATTCGGCGATGAATATGGACGTATTCAGGCCAAGGGAGGGGAGTAGTTCCGATCCTTGGAACGTTTTGTAGGCATATTTCCCATTATTTTCAGCTGGGAGAAGGACAGAGACGTGCTTAGAAGTGTGGTTGTTGGCGAGGTGGATGAGACGCTGCCGAACCATGCCTTTCCACGTCCCATGTCGGCTTCCACCTTCGGATGTGGTACCCCGCCAGAAGACGGTGGGCTCCTTTTCAGAGTACAGAGGATCCGGGAACTCGTCGGAAGGAGCATATTTCGCCTTATCCAGGTAATTCCAGGAACTCGGATAGAGGATATCGTTAAAACCGGAAACCTTGCTTTGGCTGAAGATAGGAAGAAGCTTCCGCGAAACCTTGAGTGACGCTGGCGATAAGAAGAACCCATGCATAAAGGCCAGGTCGGGCTGATGGCAGATATCACCGGATAATTCCCACCGTCGGAGAAATTGGCCGAGAGAATGGGGTCGGGCGCATGTGGTACACAGCGTTTGTTTATCCCATATGTATGCTGTACGAGCCTTGGACGTTGGTGGGCACAGGGAGCGACCAATGGGATCGTATGTTGTCTCAAAGGCATAGTCGATAAAAAGTCTTTGCGAATAGCGACCCGGTATTTCACTACGGACCCATCCCTGCGCGCGATTTTCAGACCACGTATTTACAAGGCTCTCTCGTGGAGAGGAAATCTGGACATGCGCAGAATGCTGCATCGAGTGAAGCCGTTCCCAAGGCACAGCAACCCGGCACTCGTCATTGAGATTAAAGGCAATGTCCATATCCGGGAGATGATGGGCAAATGGTTCGATCATCAGAGCGATACCCTCGATCATCCACCGGTGAGTCGGTTTTATATCTGCCTGGGCCTCAGCCTTTCCATCTCGGATGTTTACTGCCGATACGTCATTCCATTGGTCGCTTGTCATCAAGAGTACCAGTTCTCTCAGATGCTTCGGCGAGAGGGCCCGGAATGGAAGAAGATCGTCGTAGATCTGGTCGTAGTCGTCAATTATTGGCGACGACCGATTTATGGCATATTCATACCATAAATCAAAGCCTCTATGACCTTGTCAGAACCTATACCTATTTATTCGGGCGGGACGCGAATTACATACGGAGGCGGAGCCTGGTGGTAACGTTTTCGATATTCAGCAACAGCTTCCTTGAGGTTCATGCTATTACTAGCTTTTTGTATCCATATTTCATGCTCTCGTTTCGCACCGGAGATGAGGATACTGATTGGATGATAGGCTGTGACATTATTGTGTGAAAACGCTAAAGTTAGGAACACCCCAAGCGATACTAGGATCATCCAACGCAGACAAGCGTTAAGTCGGGGGATTCTCTTCCCATCGGACGTGGAAGAAAAACTTGACCTGGGATACAGGTATCCAGCAGTATGTATGAGAAATGCGGCGAGAACCGCCTTAGAGACATCCAACGGGGGGAATGGGGAAGAAACAATCCAGATATATGGCAGAAGAGATACATATGTGGAAATTAAAGAGAAAACAAAAGATAAGGTTAAAATAGTGGCATGGGAAACCTATATAGGCACCGATTAAACCATGCGCGGAAATTGGGTACTTGGGTATTTCCGATTCACTTACAGCCTTGGATGCGGCAACGCAGGAAATTGCAATCAGTGCGCTTTGCCTTAGTGTATCCTCCACGTAAGATGCCGACAGGGGCGGGAGCATTGGGGAATTGGATACTTTAAGTATTATGACTTCGATTACTGCTCGGACGACCCCGGCCGCCTGGTTTACAGCGCTTGTTAATGCATGGCGTGCGGGAGAACGTTACGCAGCGACTCACCAATAACACGGTTCCCCAGAGCGTCGACACCTGCCAAGCTGTGCCATCTAGACCGCGAGCGGCGCAACTAACCAACGATTCCAGGGCCAAAGCAAAACTGATCTCAAGCACGACAGCCAGAAGCTGGAAGGAAAGCGTTATTCCCGAATCATGTCCCAGGGAGGGACATATAAAGGTGCTCTCCCGTCCGTACTTCAAGGCTGCGGTAAAAATACCGGCGATTGCTAGCAAGACCGTGGAGGAGATGTAGTTGAAGTGCTTTTTCTGGATCTTGTCCGAGAATGTCTGGTCGCCGGATGACCGAGTTTTGCTGAGGAAATACTCGTATACGGCCAACACGAGAGGCATGAAAGTCTATAGAATAGAGCCCTCCCGTTAGACAGTTGTACGGCTCCAGTCTCAATGTGCGTCATACCAAACTACTTATCGAGCCGCAGTGAGAACGTGTCACTAATTGGCGATAAAGCTCCACTCGTAAGCACAAGGCGGCCACTGCAAACACAATTACAATCCCTGTTTGCCGTATTTTCGCACCCGTTAGCCTCCGTAGCTTTTCCGCCGCGTCGCAGCGTAAGGGTAACGTGGAGCGAGTGTTCAAGAGAAAGTCTGAAAACGGAGTATCGGGACACGTCCGGTCATCTTTAGCCGTTCGACCGGGAGAAACGACGAAGCTGAATATCAAGAGAGAAACCCCGGAAGAGAAGAGCGCGAACGTGGCCGATTCCGCAGGGCGACCTGAATTCCGGAACAATTAGCTCGATCGGGGGGGGAGGCCACCGGGGCGTGAGCACCATACTGAAGGCGAACGAATCCTCAGCGGACAACAGCAGTAGAGACGTGCTGAGAATAAATACACTGTGTTTGTTGTTAGCATGGGCTCATCCATAGTGGATTCGTGGCCTGGAAATGAAAAAACGGCCACCCAGGGTTCATCGTGCTGCGTACCTAAATGAAATGGACATCCTCTTCACCACCGTCGAAAAGAAACTCCGGCAATATAAAATACAAGCATTGAAACCGAAATAAAACCCGAAAGATCATCCCGAATCCCTACACAGACGAGAGCCTGAGAGTAGGAGCGGCATCGGCAGCGTCAGTAGCATCAGCAAGCAGCACCAGCAGCAGCAGCAGCCATGGTGGCAGGGAGACGGGCGGGATAAAAAGCCTGTCCCAAGGGCGTCGCTTGGCCCGGGGAGATTGGCAGCACCCGTTGCCGACAGTCAGGAGTCCCGTTTAACCTTAAACCGCCTAACTTCCCTTCCCGAAACGTCAATAATCGTCGGCAGCCCGATGACGTAACACGCGTGTAACCCGATCACGTGAGAAGCCGTTGTGCCAAGCCCTCGCTTGTAGTTGCCGCGGCGGGAGAGCCGACGCATGGGGCAGTTTTACCCGGGGCATCGCCAAAAAAAAAAAAAGGGCATCGGAGGGCGGCGTGTGATGGAGAGAAGGTCTGCGAGAGACGCGGTGGTTGCAGCTCGTTACCGGCAGCGATTGGGCATTTTGGAATGGACAGGTGACCTGAGACTGACATCCTGAAGCTCCCTGCAAATTAGTTGAGACGCCGTCAAATCGTCCCATCTACCCTCCCGTCGAACTGGATGCCGATAAATCCATTCCTCGCTTTCTTCTTCTCTGCTTGAGAGCTTTTCCCGCTCCCATTAAGAAATAAAAATAAAAAAATAAAAAAATAAAAAAATAAGAAGAAGAAGAAGAAGAAGAAGAAGAAGAAGAGGAGGAAGAGGAAGAGGAAGAAGAAGAGGAAAGAAAGAAAGACAAAGACCACACGATGCCCCGGAAGGCGATAGACTCGCGTATCCCGGCCCTGATCCGAAATGGCGTGCAGGAGAAGAAGAGAAGCTTCTTCGTGGTAGTGGGAGATCGCGCCAAAGATGTCATCGTCCACCTCCACTACATAATGTCCAGCGTCGATGTTAAGCAGAACAAATCGGTACTCTGGGCGTACAAGAAGGATCTGTTGGGCTTCACAAGTCACCGGAAGAAGCGCGAAGCCAAGATCAAGAAGGAAATCAAGCGAGGCATCCGTGACCCCAACACCGAAGACCCGTTCGAACTCTTCGTCACCCTGAATCAGATTCGCTATGTTTACTACAAAGAGACAGACAAGATTCTCGGAAACACCTACGGCATGTGTATACTACAGGATTTCGAAGCCCTTACGCCCAATCTGCTTGCGCGAACAATCGAGACGGTCGAAGGTGGAGGGCTTGTGGTGTTGCTTTTAAAGGGGATGAAAAGCTTGAAGCAGCTATACACATTGTCAATGGACATCCACTCGAGATACCGAACAGAAGCACACGATGATGTAGTGGCACGGTTCAACGAGCGTTTCATTCTGTCCCTTGGAAGCTGCAATTCATGTCTCGTGGTGGACGATGAGCTCAACGTTCTGCCGATTTCCGGCGGGAAGGACGTCAAACAGCTTCCGCCTGTAGACTCGACGGCGGATTCGAATTCTCCAGCGAGAAAAGAGCTCCAGTCAATAAAAGATAAACTTGCAGACACCCAGCCCGTTGGCTCCCTGATAACCCTAGCCAAGACGGTCGATCAAGCAAAGGCCCTCCTTACATTCGTCGATGCAATCGCGGAGAAAACACTGCGCAGCACGGTCACCCTGACCGCAGCGCGTGGTCGTGGAAAGTCTGCCGCCCTCGGTGTTGCGATTGCGGCAGCCATTGCACATGGCTACAGCAATATATTCATTACCTCACCCAGTCCGGAGAACTTGAAGACTCTCTTCGAATTCGTTTTCAAGGGATTTGACGCATTGGGTTACCTGGACCACGTCGACTACACCATCCTTCAGTCTACAAATCCTGCTTTTAATAAAGCCATTGTGCGTGTTAATGTACATCGACAACATCGGCAGACCATACAATACATCCAACCACAGGATGCCTTTGCCTTGGGTCAAGCTGAATTGCTGGTCATTGACGAGGCTGCAGCTATCCCGCTGCCGCTCGTTAGGAAGTTGATGGGCCCATATCTCGTTTTTATGGCGTCTACTATCAACGGATACGAAGGTACCGGGAGATCCTTGTCTCTCAAGCTCATCCAGCAGCTACGCGAACAATCCAGAGGAGGGATGAAATCCGCCAACGACGATACCGATATTGCAGATCGATCAACTGGGAAGTCGGTGAAGAAGTCAGAAAGCCAGAACATTGGCGGCAGGTCCCTAAGAGAAATAACCCTATCCGAACCTATCAGATATGCCCAAGGGGATGCCGTTGAGAAATGGCTTAACAAGCTGCTTTGTCTCGATGCAACATTGCCGAGATCCAAGATGAACACGCAAGGCTGCCCGCATCCGTCCCAATGCGAACTGCTTTATGTCAACCGAGATACCCTATTTTCCTTTCATCCCGTTTCTGAAAAGTTTCTTCAGCAGATGATGGCGCTTTACGTAGCCAGCCATTACAAAAACTCGCCTAATGACCTTCAGCTAATGAGTGACGCCCCCGCGCATCAACTCTTTGTCCTTGTTCCACCGGTCGAGGAAAATGCTTCCAAACTCCCAGAGCCTCTCTGTGTTATTCAGGTTGCTCTTGAAGGTCAAATAAGCAAGCAAAGCGTGCTCAATGGCCTTGGCCGAGGCCAGAGAGCTGGTGGAGACCTTATTCCATGGCTTGTAAGCCAGCAATTCCAAGACGAAGAATTTGCGGGATTGTCTGGTGCTAGAGTTGTCCGCATAGCCACAAATCCCGATTACCTTAATATGGGATATGGATCTCGCGCCCTCGAGCTACTAGTTGATTTCTACGAAGGCAAATTCGCTAGTTTATCCGAAGATGATGACCTGCCCTCCGACGAGATGGTTAGAGTCACGGATGCTGAATTAGAAAATGCCAACCTCCTGGACGATAATATTCATGTCAGGGATATCCGATCCATGCCACCACTATTTGGAAAACTGTCCGAAAGAAAACCGGATTCACTTGACTACGTTGGTGTCAGCTACGGATTGACTGGGCCTCTTCACAAGTTCTGGAAACGGGCCAGGTTCGCCCCAGTGTACCTCAGACAAACACCAAACGACCTCACCGGGGAGCACTCCTGTGTTATGCTTCGAACGTTATCAACAGGCGCAAACGATACTTCCTGGCTCGGTGCCTATGTCAGCGATTTCCACAAACGCTTTCTATCCCTCCTATCCTATCAGTTCCGCGATTTCACATCCGTCCTCTCCCTCAGCATCGGCGAGTCAGCCAACGCGATCTCTAAAGTCGACCCATCCACCAAAGTCGTTCCTCTTACCAAATCGGACCTAGACGCCTCTTTTTCCCCCTTCGACCTCAAGCGACTTGACAGCTATGCAAACAATCTCCTTGATTATCACGTTATTCTCGACATGGTCCCGACCATCGCATCCTTCTACTTCTCTGGCCGACTATCTCCTTCCGTCAATCTCTCCGGTGTCCAACAGTCGATTCTTTTAGCTATTGGTCTGCAGCGTAAGACCTTTGATGATGTCGAGAAGGAATTGAACGTCGCAGCATCCCAACTGATGGCCATGTTCATCAAAATCATCAGAAAAGTATCCACCCACTTCCGCTCACTGGTCGAAGGCGCCGTTGCAGAATCCTTGCCCCCAGCAGATGTTGGCGTGGCTCCAAAGGATGCCACAGGCGTGCATGATGACGAAATTATCGACCAACGATTCAAACCTCTTGACGTGGAACTAGACCAAGAACTCAAAGAAGGTGGTCAAGAAATCGATAAGGAGTTGAGAGAAAAGCAGCGCGCACTTATTGATGCGCTGCCCTTGGATCAGTAAGTTCTCCTTTCCTATCATATTCGCAGTCGGCTCTTTTCAGGGTATCGGGTTTACTCATCTCTCACTCCTCTTTCCATCAGATACGAAATCGACAATGGCGCTGCGGCTTGGGACGATGCGGAAAAACAAATTCGTGCTTCAGTAGGGAAGAACGGAAACGTTCCTACGGTGAGCGTAAAGTCTTCGAAGCCAGCGAAGCGCAAGGCGGGCGAGACGGCAAGGGAAATATACGAGAAAGAGATTGGCAGTAAGGAGCGGAAGAAAATTAAACGGGGTACAGAAGGAAGACGGAAATGAGGCAAATATTAATGATCAATGAAGGAAAAATTGTAATGTTAAGCTGCTTTTTGGTGTCAGATGCTGTTGGGCTGTCTTTTATCGATTACACGGCATTAGGGTTGGTGTTTGAACCCCATGGGTAAGTGGTCTGGTCGTTGGTCCTTGGAAAAAGCAGACTTCCGGTTTGGCTCTAGAGGCAATACGTTTCTTTGTTGTCTTTACAGCTGTCAGTTGTGAGTCCGTGGTGACGAAATAATTCTAAACACTTCCTCAAAACGGTTTCCACTCTGTAGAAGAGCGATAAGACAAGATCAATAAAACTGCATTATTTTGATTGGCTCAAGCTTAACTGGGGAACACAAATGATACATTTCGCCGAATAAACTCCATGGGCTACATACATATAGGATCTGACCGAGCCTGAGGGAAAGATCCCGTCACCAAAGAACATACTCACAGCTCTTCATGTACTGCGGTCTTCGGTTCCTTCGGGGATTCGGTAGTCTCTTGCTGTGGTTCCGTCTCGGGGGTAGCTGAGGGTGTCGCTTCAGGTTCATGCTCGGGTTCTTTTTCTGTCTTCTCTTCTGGCTCATCCTGTGGAGGTGCCTCAGGTTCTTGCTCAGGTTCTTGCTCAGGTTCCTTTTCAGGTTCTTGTTCAGGGATGACCTCGGGTTCCGCTTTCGGTTCCTCCTTGCTCTCGCTTAGAAGAGCTCCCTCAGGAATCTTGTGCTTCTCGGCCTCTCCCATCCGAACTTGATCAACCCATTTCTCCAAGTCAACAACGCCATACTTTGAGCCATCGGCAGAATCGTATCGACGCCACCATCCTCGCTTTCCGTTGATGGCAATTATTTCAACGATGTCAGACTTGAGGCCCAGTTCGTCTCGGAGCTTAGGAACTTCTTCAATGTCATCTGGGGCAACGTAAAAAGGGAAGAGGCGCGCGTGACGCAAAGCATGCTTGCGCTCGATATCCGAAAGAGAGTTTAGAGCTTGGAGAGCACTCATTGATGGAGGTAGATTTGGGTCGCTAGGTACGGGTACGATAGCAAGAATACAAGTTCCAGTCTTGGAGGACAAACATGTCGTTCTGAGATCGGTTGTTGTGGATAACACACGAAGTTGTGGTACCTTTGGCTCCTCGGCCTGAGAACGTCTCTCTGAAGCGGTGAATTTTTTGGGCTCGCGAGGGTCTGTACTATCGTTGGCAGACTCGGTGGGCTTATCTGTAGCGGTGTCACCGGCGGTAGTAGTCGGCTTCTTGGGCTTTTGAGGGCTCGATTTTTTCAGTGGTGGTGGATCTTGGTTTGGCTCCGCAACTTGGCTCAGGAACTCCAGCATGGGCTTCTTCTTCAACTCTCCATCATATACAACCGACGGCTTGTCCGATCCAGGGAGGAGGACAAAGGTGGGAAACTTTGTGACGCCAAACATGTCCACAGCCGAAGTCTCCTTGTTCCTTATTTGACCGATTTGAATTTTGCCATGGAAATCAATGGCCAATGCTCTTAACAGTGCACTGGTGGTGCCTTTCTCGGTGAAGAGAATGGCCTTTGCGGTCTCGTTTGAGTTCGTCAACCAGTCATCGATGTTCTTGTCGGTGAGGCGCTTTACACGGTTTGGAATTTTCTCGACGACAGCGTCTACTATACCTTTCGCGGTTCTTGGGCCTTTGTAGTCTTCGTGCTTTGGTTTTCCTGGCTTGTCGGAAGGAATTACCATTCTAAGCGTAGGGAATCCCTGTATACGCATAATGCCACAGAAGCTTTTGTTCGCCTCATCGTCGCAATTAACAGCGGCAACTTTAGCCAATCCCTCCAAGCTCTTCGCCGCCTTTTCGTACGCTGGTTTGAGGTTCTGGCAATGGCCACACCACGGCGCATAGAATCTGTAACCATATGAGAAAATAACTCGACGCGAAGTGTTAAGGGGAGCGCCTTACTCTACGATCTAAACGCGAGTTAGTCGGGGCGATCTCGAAGCTCCAAGATAAGCATTAGGTACTTACAGAAACATGGTTAGATCTAGCAATGAGACGGTCGTAGTTAGTTGCATCGACCTGGAGAACTGGAGATTTCTTAGTATACAGGCTCTCTGCACTCGCAGGAAGAGCTCCCAAGAGCGCAGTCAGCAGCACGACAAATGAGCTATGTTTAAGCATAGCGGGTACCAGGTTTGTCAGCAAAAAAACGATCTAGACGAGCTTGACAAGATGGATAACCATAAACACTCCTCAGATACACAACATTGAGAAGGAAGAATAGTCTCGGTACTAGACCAAGGATTATAGGTGCGAGGGCTCGTGTTTCTTCCACCCTGTCCTTATGGCGTCGAGCCCTTAATCGCAAGGTGGTCTCATTGCTGCTTTGGGACCGCTCTTATCTTATCGCCACGTGATATCACCGCCCGATATCAATCTTGATCAACGCAGGCCCGTTTCGAGACGGGATTTGAGATGAAAAAAAAGGGGCATCGTGGCGAGAGGCTTTCATGGTGTCAAATTGTTTGGGATTTTTTTTTTTTTTCCCTCACTCGTATAGCAGCTGATCTGAAGACTTTGCGAAGAATACTTCTTCAAAACAGCATTACACAGGATGGAATCAAAGCGAAAAATAAAATATTGTTTACATGATCTAGAACTGTACGGAAACTCTACATGCCTCGAGACACTGGCAGACAACGGCAGCCAAGATAGCACATTACATTTCCTCACTGGCAGTGGCACCAGTAATAATCTCAACCAATTCGCCAGTAATAGCGGCTTGACGCTGTCTGTTGTAAAGGATCTGGAATCTGCGCATATCGAGTTAGACCAAAATAAAAGTTTCTCAGAAACTCGGGAGTTCGGGAAAACTCACCGGCTAATCATGTCACCAGCGTTCTTGGAAGCGTTCTGTGTAGATGAGGTTAGTAGCTGTCTTTGACATTTGGAATGGAAGAGTCCGTCACATACATCCATAGCATTGCGACGAGCCTAACAAGTGACGGTTAGCATAGATTTCGTTGAATATCATTCGACGAATACTCACGGAAATTTCGCAAGCGTGTCCTTCAGCCAAGGCCCAGTACAAGCTGTTGGCGAGGGCGTATTCTCGAAGGTTTGCAAGAACCTCGTTGTCAACCTCGAAAGCAACGACATTGGCTAAGCCACATATCAGCAATCAGAAATTTAGTCACAGACCAGATTACGGGGGAATATGCGCACGGGATTGAATGATAGCCTCTTCGGAGAAAGCTTCAACGGTAACGGGCTCATAGCTTTGGGCGTTGAGGAACTTATTGTAGACAATTTTGATGCTGGCGTAGTCCGTTGGCAAGAGAGAGATCTGGTCGGCAATGGCCTGGGCGTCGGCGAAAGTGGGGATGTCCTTTCCAACGCCAGAGAAACTCATGACGATGTTCTTGTCATTGGTTCTGCCGAGTTGACCCTTGGACTTTTCGCCGAGAACAACGATATCGGCGTCAGGTTGCGCTTCTATCATCCTTCGAGTAGCCTTGCTGAGGCCGGAGTGGATGCCGCCACAGAGACCCTTATCGGAGCTGGCGACGACGAAGAGGGTCTTCTTGTTCTCAAGTGGCTTGGTCTCGGCATTTTCGAAGACGGTCTCTGAGGTTTGACCATAGGCACGGGAGACGCTCATGGCTCTCTGGGCTTTGGTAAGACGGGTGGAAGCAACGATCTTCATGGTGTTGGTGATTTTCTCGATGTTCTTGATGGACTTCAAGCGGCCCTCGATTTCACGGAGGGTAGCGAAGTTGGCGGCATTGGCAGGCGCAGACCTTCAAAAAAACCAGCGTCAGCTCATCAGATTTAACATACAGCACCCGCCGCACCTCCGCAGCATTGCCCTGCTGCGGCCACACGGGCGGGAAGCGAGGGAATGTACCGAGCAAGGACTGCATTGCCGGCCTTGAGGGCCGGGCGGGCAGCTCTCGAGAGCATGGCTGGAGGAGGGATGACCACAGATCGAAAAAATTGCCCGAACTGGAGGACGCAGCGACGGCCAATTGGCGTTCCAAGACGACAATTGCACGGAGAGCGGAGGGTGAGGGCGAGGTGAAATTGTCGTTCGTTGGTGGTTGATACGCTAATCATCGCAGAGTCGGAACACTCTGGTGGCGCTAGGCCGCTTTGGGCAGTAAGCAGCGCTAAACCGCATTTGGACGGAGCCGCCGCCCGGTCAGCTTTGCCAGCCAGAAGATATAAGAATAACCTTGGAAACCTCTGCAACCCATCCACTTTTTGCCTTACAACTGACTTCACTCTGCTCGCACCGAGAGCTTCATCCCGACCTACTCTGTCGCCCCCTATGTCTTTGTCTGTGGCCTGAGACCCTCTCGCTGCACTCTCACCCTCCCCTGGTCCCATTCTCCCTTTCACTTCTCGTTGCCTTTTCATTCCTCAACCACCTTTCCATCATTGCTCATTCTTCAGCCTTTCTTCAAATTCGTTTCCTTTTCCCAGGGCTACTGAGGCCTCTGAGCCATCCCCTCCGCGCAGCACATTACCCAAAACCCTCCTACGTGCAATTTCGTCTCCAATCTTCAGCCGCACGTGCCATTCGCATCATGAGTTCCTCTGAGGAGGATGCTCCTCTCGTTGGGAAGAGGAAGACCAACGGGCTCTCTCATGGTGAGTACCTAGTGTTGCCTACGTGGAAAATTTGGTCCCGGGCTCATTGATCCCTTGACTTTGACACAAACATCTACAATCTGGAACTGACGAACAACCCAGCCCCGTATCCATCTGAAGAGCTAGTGTCCAAGGCAACAGATCCTTCTTCCACGAGCACCCCCACTACAAACGGGACCACGAAACCGGGAGTTTCTATCCGGTATGGGCCCATTGACGATGAAGATGTGGAAATGCAAGATGGAGAAGTGAACGGCGCGCCGCAAACCAAACGGAAGTCAAGAGCCAGCGCTGCAAACAAATCCTATGCAGAACCCGAGAGCAGCGAGGAAGATGATAAGCCCTTGGTACGCCATCTCCCCAACCAAACCCCCCAAACGCACAACTTCGATAGCCTCTCTTTTCTCAGTCACACAGCAATCCGCTGACTCCGCCATAGAGCAAGCGCCGTCGTACCTCTACCAAGAACCGAGTCGAAGATTCCGATTCTGATGACGCGCCTCTACTTTCGAGGTCCACGAGAGCTCAAAAACTTCCTGCCCCAACCGCAGCCGAGGAAAAAGAGCTCCTTGCAGAAAAGGCCGAGATTGAGCACCGTGCTGAGATCGAAGCAAAGGCTATTAGGAAACATGAACGCGAAGATGCTGCCAAGAAGAAGCCTGTAGGTAAAGCCGCAAAGGCACCATCCGCTCGGCAGCCCGCAAAACAAAAGCCAGCCGCCGGTAAACGGACAAATGGCATCAAGAAAAGTGAATCCAGTGATGAGGATCTTCCACTTCGTCGGAAACCTCGTGCCAAGGCTGCTAAACCTGCAAAATCAGGAACTACAACTCCTGCAATAAAGGGCGAAGATAAAGCCAAACAAGAAAGTGAAGAGGCTGAGGTTGAAGCGGAGGAAGAGGAAGAGTATCGCTGGTGGGAAGAACCTACAAAAGGAGATGGGACAATCAAGTGGACCACTCTTGAGCATAACGGTGTGGTGTTCCCGCCTCCTTACGAACCGCTTCCTAAGAACGTGAAGATGAAGTACGATGGTGTTCCAATTTCTTTAGAACCAGACGCTGAAGAGGTTGCTGGCTTTTTCGGATCGATGCTTAATTCTACCCACAACGTCGAAAATCCGACTTTTCAAAAGAATTTCTTCGAAGATTTCACCGCTATTATTAAGAAAACCGGAGGCGCCAAAGATTCACAAGGGAATAAAGTGCTAATCAAAGATTTCAAAAAGTGCGACTTTAGACCGATTTTTGAATACTATGAAATGAAACGTGAAGAAAAGAAGGCTCTTCCTGCTGCAGAAAGGAAGCGATTAAAAGTTGAGAAAGAAGCCGCAGAGGCTCCATACATGTACTGCATGTGGGATGGCCGGAAACAAAAAGTGGGAAATTTCCGTGTTGAACCTCCAGCGCTGTTCCGTGGTCGTGGTGAACATCCAAAAACAGGCCGGGTTAAGACACGGGTTCAACCCGAGCAGATCACTATCAACATCGGAAAAGGCGCTGCAGTCCCTCCACCGCCCGCCGGCCACAAGTGGAAGGAAGTGAAACACGACCAAGAAGGGACGTGGCTGGCAATGTGGCAGGAAAATATCAATGGCAATTACAAGTACGTGATGCTTGCGGCGAATTCGGACATCAAGGGCCAAAGTGACTTCAAGAAATTTGAGAAAGCGCGAGAGCTGAAGGTAGATCTCTTTTTGACACCATTTCTCGCTGGTCTATACTGACACTCCATTCCCAGAAACATATTGATCGGATTCGCAAAGACTATCGGAAAGGCCTTAAGGATGAACTCATGGCAAACCGCCAGAGAGCAACTGCTGTCTATCTCATCGATCAGTTTGCACTGAGAGCTGGTAACGAGAAAGGAGAAGATGAGGCCGACACCGTCGGTTGTTGCTCACTGAAATATGAGCATGTCACGTTAAAGCCACCAAATAAAGTTATCTTCGACTTCCTAGGTAAAGACAGTATCCGATTTTATGACGAGGTAGAAGTCGACCCTCAGGTCTTCAAGAATCTCAAGATTTTCAAGAAGGCCCCGAAAAAGGATGGAGACGAGATATTCGATCGGCTTACGGTAAGTTGCGAGCATGCAGGTTGTAGAAACAGATGCTGACTTTCACAAGACGAGTGCTCTCAACAAGCATCTTTCGGGTTACATGGCTGGACTGACAGCCAAAGTTTTCCGTACATATAACGCCTCGTACACCATGGCTACTTTACTGAGACAAATGAATGCAACCGGGACTATCCACGAAAAGGTCAAGCAATACAACGATGCCAATCGGAAAGTCGCCATCCTTTGCAACCACAAGCGTACAGTTGCTGCTGGCCATGCGAACCAAATGGAAAAGTTAGGCGAAAGGGTAAGTCTTTGGATTTCTCATGACTTCTACCCCAATACTAATTGAGTTCAGATAAAAGGGCTGCGCTATCAAAAATGGCGGATCAAGCAGATGATGCTTGATCTCGATCCTAAGATCAAGAAGAAGAAGGGTGCTGAGTTCTTCGAGCTGGATCCAGACCTTGACGAAGAGTGGATTAAACAGCACCAAGCTTTCCTGGTAGAAGAGCAGCGTCAGAAAATTCAAAAGAAATTTGATAAAGACAACGAAAAGCTCCGCGCGGAAGGAGAGAAAGAGATGAAGGTTAAAGAACTTGAGAAGCGACTTGAAGTTGCCGAAGAGCTGGCTGCGAAATTCAAAAAAGAAAATAAGACCAAGAAAGTAGAGGCTGAAGGCAAGGGAGCCACAATTGAGAAATACGAGAACAACCTCGCCAAACTGGATCAGCGCATTGATACGATGTCGCTGCAGGCCCAGGACAAGGAAGATAATAAGGAGGTTGCCCTGGGAACATCAAAGATCGTAAGTATATCCATACCATCCTCTAAAAGAGTTCTAAGGGCGCTAACTTTCTTTCATAGAATTACATTGATCCCCGATTAACAGTTGTGTTCTCAAAGAAATTCAGCGTGCCCATCGAAAAATTTTTCTCGAAGACCCTTCGAGAGAAATTTGACTGGGCCATCAAATCTGTTGATGAGAATTGGGAGTTCTAATCACCTATATAAGAATTTCCCACGCACTCTTCGGCCCAGTTGAACACGATTCACGGAGTTTCACCAGGGGCGGAGGTTTGGTTTTAGCTTTGCTATATGTTGTATTTACTTGAGAGGGGTGCAGGCATGAAGGGTTCAGGGGAAGAGGCTTGATTTGTTTGACTTTTAGCAAACCTCATGCCTGATTTTGCTTGAGATCCCTACTGACTAACTAGATATCATAAACACATTGAATTGGCTATTGGTCACTTAAATCAAATATAGATATCTAATCAATATTCTACACGTTCAGCCAGCAAAAAAAAAGGGTACCCAGCACATTTCCTTTGGTATTAAAACCTGCTAACTACGGGCCAACGCAGAAGGTTGATTTGATATGTACTCCGTAATTGGCGATCTTCTACCCCGGCCCATTCTTGACCCGTAGCCGAAGTATTACATGACCTCATTCTTTTTGGCACTTTTGTCAACCCCGAGATCTCGGAGATCGAGAGATTCCGGATAGTCCGGGTTCCAGAGCCTGGAAGCCACCATGTCCCACAAGACGGCACGATACGGCGGACCTTTTATTTCCTAGCCTGGTGTTCAAGATCTGAGGAACCGGGATTTTTAACGCAGGCATCTAATATTTTCTGCAGAGTCTGTCCTGTATGTGAGCTCTAGCCGAATTTCTTTCTTTCTTTTCTTTCTAAAAAAAAAAAAAAAAAGAAAAAGAAAAAAAAAAAAAGGAAAAAAAGAAAAAAGAAGGGTTGTAGTCTGGGTTAGTTGCAATGTTCAACCCTCTGCATACTACCGTATAGCTAGGTACTTACAAGAATTTCTGGCAGTTGTGAGCTGCACCCCTGTCAATTTATTAAATTGGTTGTAAGAATACGTCTAGTTAAAAACACGCTATCTGCCAAAATGGGGATATTGGTCGTTCAAGCCTCTAATCAAATGCCATGTCGCCTGAATTATCCTGTTCCTTTTGCCTTTGCAGAGACAAACATATATAGTATTACGATCGAACCACTTTCAGCACATTCACTGCCCAAATGCCGTCCGCCAGAGATGTTGTCTACTACCTCTTCCACGTCCAGGAGCTGCGCGCCATCATCCAGTGATGACATGGCGGAAACCCGTCCACCTGCGCGACGAGAGCAAGGAGTCGCGCAATGTGAAGGAATTCTACCGCTTCCTCGCGTTGACATCGCGCTCGTTTGTAGCTGTCTGTCAAGAGCTTCACCCGGAGCTGCTTTTGCCAGTAGTTGTCTTCTACCTCGTTCTCCGCAGCCTCGATACTATTGAGGACGACATGACCATTGGCATCGAAGAGAAGGAGCCCTTACTACGTAACTTCTACACCCGCATCGACGAGGAGAACTGGGCCTTCGATGGCAGTGGCCCTGATGAGAAGGACAGGGAGGCGCTCGTCAAGTTCGACTGCGTAGCCAGAGAGTTTAATCTGCTCAAGGACGAATACAGGGCAATCATTAAGGACATCGCCAAGGGAATGGGCAATGGCATGGCCGACTACGCGAAAATGGCAGATGAAAATGCCAACGGTCTGAGTGTCAAGACTATCAAGGACTATGAGCTATACTGTCACTACGTTGCAGGCCTCGTCGGTGAGGGGTTAACACGGCTGTTCGTCCAGGCGAACTTCGTGGGACCGGCCCTCCTCACGTAGAAACCCAAGCTGATGGAGTGAATGGGTCAGCTCCTGCAGCAAACGAACATTATCCGCGACATCCGGGAAGATTACGACTCCAAACGATACTTCTGGCCAGAGGAAGTCTGGTCCAAGTACGTGGAAAACTTCAGCGACCTCTTCTTGCCGCAAAACCGGGAGAAGGCACTGCAATGCAGCAGTGAGATGGTGCTCATGGCACTGACCAGGGCAGACGAATGTCTATCTTACATGGCAGGTGTCATGGAGCAGTCAACCTTCAACTTTGTTGCTATACCACAAACAATGGCGATTGCGACGCTCGAGCTCTGCCTTCAAAACCCAGCAATCTTCGACCGGAACATCAAAATCTCAAGGGGCTCAGCGTGCCAAATCATGATCGAATCAACACGGGAGTTTCAACATGTCTGCGAAGCGTTCAGGCGGTATGCGAGGGGGATCCGTCGAAAGAACAACCCCAGCGAACCCCCATTTCCTCGATATCAACATTTCCTGCGGCAAGATTGAGCGTTTCTTTGAGAGTAATTTCCCAGAAGAAGCGAAGAGAAATACGCACAAGGCGGAGGCGAGGAAGGGTGCGATATACCTGGTGGTTGCCACTCTTGGTGTTATCACAGCTGTGATGGTAAGACATGTCCGTCAAGCTTGGAGCGTGAGGCTAACAGACACGATAGGCTGGCGCCAGCTGGTCTCAGAGTTGAAGTGAGGCAACCTTTCCTCACCGTAATCCTCTGGCGCGGGCGAAAGCATATCGAACGTGTACAATAGGCAACGGCGAACTGTACGGAGTACCAGTGTATCGTTACACCAAACTCGTGGGAGGAGAAATTTGTAAAGTTTAGCTGCCTTTGTAGTTATGACGGATCAATCATAATACTAATTTGATGAGGGGCATTCTTTTTCAACCAATCATGGATACCACAATGCAGCCACTCCACATTCGTATAAAAGACGGAGCGTGGAGGTTGAATCGGTGGAGCAGGGCCGATCTTTTCTGTGAGTGAAAAGTGGCGGATTCCTCCAAGTAGGACTCTTCAGTCAACCGTGATGCACTCGCGGGGGTTTTCTAGGCCAGTATAGCACCAGTTCGCGAACCTTTTGAGCAATGCAGCCATAGCCATTATAGCAAGTGTAGAGACCAGCAATAAATTTCAACCTTCAGCAACAATAGAATGAATGTAGAGTTTAAAGCAGCAAACGGAAAAGAATGTCAGCAGCAGGTATAGACCTATATGACGAGAGCCCTTTTGTATGCTTCGTTTCTGTGAGATTCAGCAGATGGGCTGGTGGGAAACGCAAACCATAAGGCCCAGGATGCAGCCTCGGATGGGGACAGGCGAGAAGGGCTATCTCAGTTGCGAGATGGAAAAAGCACTCAGCATATTCATACGTCTGTGCTTGAAGAGGTCATTCCGTCGGCTGCGGTGGATAGAAATCTTAGGGGCATCACTGCTCTTCAGGAGATATACATCAAGACAAAGATAGAAACAAGCCGATCAAAGTGAATTATAAACAAAATCTATAGTTACAAGGGTATTCAAAACGAAGAGAAAATGATGAAATATAGAGGAATGTCCAAGATTTCAATGTAATGTAAACTGAACCAACATTCGCTCTGCATCAAATAACCGATAATGCTTAAGCCACATTCCCCCTCCCATGCAAAGATTGAGATTTATCATGTATATTTGTCAAACCGTCAGTAATGCGTTGTATCATTTCGGGTCAGATCAAAAAAAAAAAAAATAAAAAAAAAAAAAGAAAGAAAAGAAAAAGGGTGGGTGCTCAGGGGTTGGGATCAAGGCCACCAGTTCATTCGGTCATAGCTTCTGACGATGATCTCCAACCAATCCTGGGGAAGAGTTGGAGTCTGATACGTGAAGCCAGTCGTCTGTTCGAATAAAGATCCGTCGACTGAAACATCGGTGTCTTTCAGAAGCTCCTTGTCCACAAAAGGGCTTATGGGACCGGGCCTGGTGATTCCCTTTGCATGGAGTAAATCAGCCCAGGTCTCAAGGGCCTCTTCATTCATCTCATCGACTATTTCTTCTTGATTCAGCTTCGCGAACTGGGTCATTAACGTCCCCAAGAATTCGCACTCAATGCCGAAGGTTCGGTTTAGGGCGTCGGCTAAATCTCCCTTTTTCGTGTTATTGTGGTCGACGATGTTGAATGTGATAGGAAACGGAGGGTCTTCGTTATTCGTAACGGGACCTTTGGAGGCTCGCCACTCTGCCGCTGTCCAAAGAGCACGAGCCGCATCCTTGACGTATACCGTATTCATGACCTGATCTTTGGAGTACAGGAAAGTCATTGGTTTCTCAAGTTCTTTGTGTACCCTTCCGAGACAAAGAGCAGGGGTCAAGAAGCCCGTGTCGTATTCACCCCATACACGCGGAAACCTTAGGATGCAAAGATTCAGGCCAGGAATCTTCTTCAAGTCCTCCTCCAGGGTGAGTTTCCACTTGGAGACTTTGAAGGAGGGCTTGGTCTTATCTGTTTCCTTGTGAGGTTTCGATTCTGCTTTGTATACGGTTGCGGCAGAGCACTGGATCAGGGCACGGATACCCCGTCGAGCACATTCCTTGCCGATCGCGAGAGAAGGGGCATAGGTACGGAGGCGATATACATCGTCGGATTGGGAGAATCGAGTTTCGCCACCGCAGTCGATGACATAGTCGAATTGGGCGCCGTTGGGGCGATCGAAGATGCGAGGAAATGATTCTGCGGGAATTAGAGTTAGTCGAGAGTTGGTCAAGGAGCTTGCACGATTGCACGGGGGGGCCATGGAGACGTACGTTCGCGACTTGCATCCGCCTGCACGAACTTGTCCTGTGAGCATGCCTCGCTGAATTCTGGAGCCAACCAGGCCAGCTGGGGGAGCAGTTTATCCACTATTCGAACTTCAGAGGCGAGTTTGTTCTCGTGGATGTAGAGTGCGAGATGGCGACCGATGAAGCCTGGAAAATGTCGATTACGCAGAGATAGATTAGCATCCGTACTTCATCATTGAACTGGCGGGATCAAGGGCTTGTCTCAGTAACTACCTAGGCCTCCAATGATCAGTACGGACGGCTTCTGGGACTCAGCCATCGTGTAAACAGATTCGGGACCAGTTCCACAGAATGAAACGGCAGTTCAAGAGGAGAGACTATTCGCGGTGGGGGGCGGTGCCTGGTCTGGCTGCAAAAGCTAGCACGTCGGGGTCGAAATGGTGAATCTTTCTTGATGGAGGAGCAGGCGGCCGGGCAGAGTTGGCGTACGACGAAAGGAGGGCGAGCGGCCGAATGTGAAACTCGTCGAAGATCTCAGGGTCAAACCACCCTAGTGCACTTGGTGCGCGCCCAGGTCAATGCAGGGACGTTCTGTGCGACCCAATGCCGTGTTGCTTGACGAGCAGAGGAGAAAACAAGCTGGTCTTTGTGAAATTAATATAGTTAACTAACCGAGAGGGCCGCCCTGGAGATAGAGAAAGAGAGGGAGGGGGGAGGGCAGGGCGCAATTATGTATTATTTTATTAGATTTCACCAAGCCCACATTCGCTGCTCCGCTGCTCCCTTAGCCTGGGGCACTAATTTCCTGGTGCCGGAACAACTCAAGCTCATCCTGGCGAAGGCAGAAGCGTGTGTTTTTTCCTTCTTTTTTTTTTTTTTTTTTTTTTACATGGGCTCTAATGTAATACGCAGCAGTGTGTGCAGTCCCTAAATGTACCGCGAGGCCGCTGGCTCGGGAATTGCGACTCTGGGAGCCGGAGCCCTCGCAGCCAACAGGCTAGTTGACTATGTAGGTTGCACATCTCCCTTACGCCCTCAAAACGCTTGTCTGTGCGACAGTCGCGAGGTGGGAAAATAGGGGAAAACCTTCACCGACACTTGTCTCGACACAGTCTCGCCACCTGATGACGAAGTAGACTATCTTTTAATCTCCGCGCAAGGCCAGAAGGTTTCCCCATTCCGGTCCCCTTGTCTATAACTCCGTACCGTACAAGCATCTACATGCAGTCCGTCTACCTGGGCGGCTGTTCGCAGCCGAGATGGAAAGCCGTTGTTGTTGTTGCCCTGACAATTCGGCTTCGGTTGCCAGGATTGCGATAAATTAACGAATATAACTCTGCAGATGGGCTTCCAACCCCTGCAGCGTTTTGACATCTATCAAGCCAGTGTGCTCCTCTAGCTCGGGCACCACGACGACGAAATTACCTCGTGCTCTTCCAACAGTCTTGACGGCGCTGGCTCGACATTCTGGCATTTCGTTTTGTTCCCTTCCCCCCCAAAAAGAAATTTCGGCCCGTAGTCTCCGTAAGTAACAGACAAAACATAAGTTGGCCCCGGGATTGTCGTGATCACGAGTCGATCGCCACGACCGCTCCTTGACTCGCCGTCCGTGGGGCTTTTGTCCTCTGGTGTTTGGCTGTGATGGGCGCTGATTCCATGGAACCTTCCCGCGCCAAACTCTAACCCGAAGAGCGAAGTCGATCACGGAGAGGAAAGTAGTGAAAGGGTTTAAAAAAAAAAAAAAAGGAAAAAGGAACGTCCCGAGCGCTCGTCAGATTCCTCATCTCGCCGTTCCCCATACATACCACCTCTGGGCGCGAGGCGCGTGTCTGCAAACATCCATACGAGCCTTGGAGAACACCTTTTGAGACACAAACGAGCGATCAGATCGCTCGCCAAGTCTGCATATCCCGGAAAGCATTTCCCACGTGTCCTGGGTCGCCTTGATCTCCCTGTTTGGCGGGTTCGCCTTTCTCTGAATACGGGGATGGAAGACCAACAGGCTGGAAACCTCCCGCTTGTCGTATGTGATAGTCTGTATGCATGCAGCTAGTAACGTCGCAGTGGCTTGCCCCTGTCTCCTATGTATGCAGGCTGACCAGTAGAAGGCGAGTCATTTGGAAACTCGCGGATAGCCATGCTCTGTCTCTCGACGGGGAGAAAGGAAGAAAGCTGCGAGTCGGTTACACAAGCCTTATGAGCTGCATGCAAAACAAACATTGACAGCAACCATCGAACAGGCGGCTTGCGGCGCCATGAGTGTAAGCTATCACAGTACCAGTACTCTGGAGTCACCCGCGACTATTGACTAGCGAGCGACGCAGGCTTCACACAAAAATAAAAGATAAAATAAAATAAAAATACATAATACTCCGCAATTCCAGAACGCAATACCGGCTCTCCGGGTGGTCCCCGAGATATTATTTAGCTTGACAACCCCAGGCACGGTGCTGCAACCGGTGCCGCCACTGGACATATTTAGGCTCCGTCTTGACGAACTATTTGCGGTTGGAATGGAGGAAAGAGGACTAGCGAACTGACCGGGATGCCCTGCTTATGCATAAGAAGCTATACTGTAGTCGCTGCTCAAGTGTCGCACCTTTTCAGCTCGTTTGCTATCCTGCATTGTTTATACGACCAAAACAAATTCGACGCTTTTTGCTCTTGGATCGCGCATTAGCACTCCCATATGTGCGGACATATCCAGCCACTCAGTACTTAGGTACATATATATATGTATGGGCAGGGTTCTGAATCCTAGGGCTCGGGAACCGATTCTGCCATGTTATCTTCATGGCTTCGCCGGCGCTTGGGAACGAAGTCGAAGCCATCCACAACACCGTGGACAGGAGAAGATGGACATGCTGCTTATATTACAACTCATTTATTATAGGAAGTCGGAGAAAAGGTTGGCCAATCTCATATGGGGCCTTGCAAACCGCACATCCTAACCAGTCCCCGAGTACTCCGTACCAGATACGCAACCCCGACCTCCAGTGTGGTGCTGACCTGTGGCTGGCTGCCTGCAGATCGGTGTGAGAGTGACAACCTGCTTCTAGCTAAACGGTCTCTCTGTGTACCAGGAATTGAACTCTCTTCCACTGCTGTTTTTATTTTCTTATTCTTATTTTTATTTTTTTTAGACAAAAATAATGTGACATTACGAAGTAGCTCTGCGCTACAAACACTTTCAACGCTGGGCAAAAATAATGAATTGCGCATCCTGCTGAAAATCTTGAGCAAAATGACTCTTGACGAATAAAAGTTCTGCAAGTTTGGTGGGGAGTGGTGAATAGCTAGGTTTCTCGTCGTGATATTATATAGCAACATCTCCAAAAGCCACGCCATAGTTAGTCGCTCATCTTGCGCCAAGCAGCCTTAAAGCATTCCTTAGCTCCTTGACCGCTGTATTCACGTCGTCAAAATTCAATGCGGACACCGCCCATCTAGCATGCTTTTGTGCCTGCGCCATCGAATCCTCATCAACGACTGAGTTACCAGTGGTCGAGGTATACGCCGGCATGGGCGGCACTGGCTTTGGTGGTGGAGGAACTGTAGATGGAGTTATCGATGGCTTTCGCGCATGAGCAATCCTCTCGAACTCCTTAGGCGACGAGGCTCGCGGGGATGGCGGCGCTTCGTGGGAGGCTACTGCTGGAGGAGGAAACGATTGGAAGGTGTTTAGCGAGGGAAATGCCTCTGGCGGTGCGCCTAGGTTTGCCGGCGTCCCGACGCCGGAGATGGGTGAACCCTGTGGGAAGTCTGATGGTGCAGCTGGGAGGTCAGGAACTGTAGCTTGGGAGAGATGGGAGGGCCTTTGACGTAGGTCCCCGTCAAGATTCATCATGCCGGGGATTGTAGGACTCGGTATGTTACTAGGAGGTCCGCTGGGTGGTTGAGGTAGGTTCTCAGTGTGAGCAGGGGGTCTAGATGATGATCTGGATGGATGGATAGATTCGTCCGCCGATGATTGTGCTGCTAAGCGGCGCTGAACGCTATCAGATTCATCGGGCACTTCCTCCACAGACGGCTGCCGCATTCTTCTGAGCGCAGGCATCTCAGCATCCTGTGGTTTCTCGACGCTGGGGCTATTCGACTCCATTGGAAGGCCACCTTCGTTCTCCATCTTTTCTGGATTGGAGAGGTTCGGATCCTCTCCAGCTTTGACAGCCTTCGCAATGCGTAAAGCGTGGAATTTAGCGAACTTTATCTTAGCAGCAATCTCAGGGTCAACTTGGCCCCATATCTGGCAGAGCTCCAAGAAAGTTGCAGCTGCCTGGAATGTATCTGCCGTTTGCCTGGACAATGGGATTAGCTGGATAATAGGGCAAATCAAGGAACAACAAAATAGTAAGGAGGTCATACAGTGACGCCCTGTTTGCTTGCACAGCGTTATCGGCTCTGTGAAAGGTCTCTAATCCAAATTGTTCCACATATGCCTGACCGGCCGTATCATCCGTTACAGCATCATTATCTGAATGCTGAGCTTTGAACTAACCCCCGTACAATCATAAGCAAATTAGTATAAATGACGAAGTTGGCACTTGATTTCCTTGATTTCAGGAGACAAATAAAGTCAATTTTCTGCTGGGAGGGGGGGAAGGAGGTAAAAAGCCCTAACCTGCTCTAATTTGTCCATAAGTCCGGTGGTAAAATTTAAACATTCTGCATCGGAGTGGTGGAGGTTCTTGGACAATATCTGGTTGACAATCCAGTAATTGCCTGCGGGACATCAGTCAGCGCAATACCGCTGTGAGAACGTTTGGTTGATCGGAGTCGTACACCAATACCATATCACGGGCTTTGCCTTCTCGACCTGACGAGCTCGAGTGGCAAAGCGGTTGATATCTGCGGGCTTCAACCCGTTTGGGATATTAGTTGACATTGTGGCAGTATGTGAGGCTGCACGCTGCAGCAGGGGGTTCTCGAGACTGAGAAGTGTGGATTGTGCCGATGGTGCTGGTTTAAGGGATGCTGGCGGAGGAGCTGTCTAGCTGTTCCGGCTTGCCTCAACGGTGATATCATGGCGCTCCCCGCTAACCCCAGATTGGCCGGCACGTTCGATCGCTAGCTGACTAATCAGACACGAGTAACGGTACTGTAAGGTTACCGTCGGCGTTACGATGGCAGTTTTGCATCGTCCGATCACACATCATGATGGCTTGCACGACCAGACGAGAGATCCGCGGACTGCAATCGAAGCGCTCCTTTTTTCAAAAGTTCTATGTCTGGACTGAAATTGGTTGGTACAACAGTCAAACCGGCTAACTACAAATTCTTCTATCAGTACATGTATGTATGCGTTCAGGCCGTGTGGAAAGTTTGAGCCGCCATCTGTACAGGAATATCAAGTCTCACTAAAACTATGGAGTACTCCGTAGTGAGTAGGCATTCGTAGATACTGCTAGATTGACTAGCTGGTCAACCATCTCCCACACCCCAACGGCCAATTTCAACTCGCTCCTCAGAAAGGATCTCCACTTCAATGTGATCTTCTACCTGCCCGCCCGGCCCACCAACGCGCTCTACAACCAGCCAAACACCACCCCTCAGTCCCAGCTCCGGCTGCAAATCGACACTTTCGATTCGAGCCCCAGTAACTAAATCGCTGAAATCCCCATCACCCGAAGCGGCAAGGATTTCCTTGTACGGTCCCTGTCCTAGTTCTAGTGTCATGAGAATCGGAGACGGGGCCACGGTCCGATGTCCAATCCACGATCCCTTACGTCTCGCCACAAGCTTTAACCGGGAAAGACGGGATACGGTTATAGGGGCTAGAATTCTGTCGATCCCGGGAGAGAGGACTCCAAGACCAGAACTCATGAGCAACCGCCCTGCGCCTTCTCTTGGTAACGGTGTCACTTCACATGGATGAGTCGATGATACCCGCAGTGTGAATTTTCCCAGCTGATCGGGTGCGAATGTTGAGCACACGATGGTGTATGTCCCCTTGGTCATAGCGTCCGCTTCAGCCAATGCGAAGCCGCGACGGTAGTCACCGCTATCACACACGATATCTCGCAAGCGAACCTCGGCGACCCTTTCGCCCTTAGACCAGAATATTTTTACGTGAGTGGCTAAGTCGCCGTTGTCCGTCTCCAGTAAAACGGCAACATCACACTTTTCGGAAACTTTCAGCTTGAACTGGGGATTCAAGGGGTATCTTTCAGATTCGGCATTCCCTCCTGCCGTGGATAATGTCCATGCTGCTTGAACTTTTCTAACATGCGCATACTTTTCAGTAGCCGGACAAACACTTAAAGGACCTGTAGAGAATCCAGATAGCGAGAAGCTCTGTATTGAGCGATGGAGTGACTGCTCCGCGACAACAGCAGTGAAGGTTGTGTTTGGGGGCATGTCCAGGCGCACCAGTGTGTTTGGCGAGTCAACATATGGGCTACGGTGAATAGCACCGTCACTCAAGTACACCCTTTGACCCCTTTTATTAAACACGTAGATACTAATAAACCCGGGTTCATCAACTTCCGGATCCAAAAGTTGGTTTACGGCGTCCGACGTCTCTCCGCTCTTGAAGTGTTTGTTCAACAGCAGCCAAAGCTTACCCCCTGACTTGCTTGTTATCGCAAATTGCGGATTCTCTGTAAAACATCCTGGTACTGGGGGAGCGCTTGATAAATCCCACCGAAAGTGAATATCTTGTCGATATCTGAAAAGACGAGGGTTCCAGTTGAGATACAAATTCTCGAAGTTCTGGAACACTTCATCACAGTCCATCCAGAATGTGCCCGGAGACAAGGGGGATCGCTGCGGTGAGCTAAACTCGAATTCAATCTCCTGCAATGCCGAGACAGCAGAAGCCCCACTAACGCCTTTCCATTTGGCACCACCTGCCCACGGATTCTTAATCAGGAATTGTCGCTTCCCATTGCTTTCTCTCATGTCAAGGATGGCATAATCATGTGAACTGATAAGCCCGACTTCTCTTTCTTCCCGTGATGTCAATTTGCCAGTACCTATTGTCAGCAAAACGTCTGCTGCAAGGAATGAATTGAATAGCCGGTCCCAAATCTGATCACAAGTTACTTCATCATGATGTAGGAAGATTTGTTCAGGGATCCACCCAGTTAAAATCCACATGTCCGTCCCAGAATTACTTCCGGGGAAATCATAACCCCCTCTAACTTTGAGATATGCCTTCTCGACAAGAGCTGGCCATATCACTGTAGGGCTGTTTCTGTCGACAACAAAGAGAGACCTAGATGTTTTTGAAGACGGCAGCCGATCATCGATGACCACCTTTCGATAGCAGCCATTAAAATGCATGCGAAATATGTACTTCCCAGATGGTGATAATTGCGGGATGGATGTGTCCTTGTCACAAGGGTACATTTTTATCGTCTGAGCCAACTAAAACACATCTATTAGTATGTGCATGAGTGTTCAGATAGACTTGGAGGTTAGGGATACACACCTGAGGATACCCTCGTACGTCCTGGGAGACTCCAGCACAAAGACTCGCAACGACGGAACAGTCTGTGGTCACGTCTTGCACAAGATCCATGGGATTTTTGCTCATCATTAGTATGTCCCTATCTTCTTTACGGGCTTCTGTAAAAATCTCAGAAGGCCGTTTCCAGCCGTCGAACATCTGCTGCTGTGATGCCGAAAGGCCGAGTTCAGAACAATCCCTAGTGGTATCAGGATCCAGCAGTTCTAAGGCTCGAGATGCCATTCGGCGTACTCACGTGAAGAGTTCGTCCTCTTCGTCCAATTCAAACTCCTCTGGGCCAGGCTGGGCTGACCAGGGAGGAAAGACGAAACCATTGAGCTTCGAATTTTCGAGCAGGATGATCTGCTCCCTATTAGATAGAGTGCGCGTTGATACGGGCTCTCTCCTCTGTCGGACTTCTGCTCTGGCACTGGCACTGGCGTTGGATTGGACTCCGCTGCCTTCCTTTAAATGTTTGAGGTGTTCTGCCTGCGTGATGTATTCTTTGCATTTGGCATCGAGGGCCTTCTTCTCCCTTGGGTCAGAAGCCAGCCTCAGGGCATGCATATAGTTCTCAGCTGCCCTGATAGCGGCTTCCAGGGCCTCAGTATGTGTGGTTGATGTAGACACATCCCTCTCAGCTTGCTGAGGGCCGGCGGGTTAGTGAGAGCTGCACCAGCGAAATAATTGCATGATCAATCGAGATGTAGTTACCAGAGCTTTGGACTTGAATTCCCGCAACCGGGTCATCTTCTTCTTTTAATAGTAAGCCCGCATCAATCTCATTGCTCTTATCTCTGCTTGCGGTCGCGGATCAAAACGCGCCCAAAGTCAAGCGCGGCGCGCTTACCGAGAGTTGGTTGGTGGGGAAGGATGGAGGTGGGTGATCAAGCCTCGTGCGTTGCTCCACGCGCTCCATCCAACGAACTCCTGCACCGGGCACTAGCTCGTTAACACAGGCTATTTCCCACTGGCCTTTCCTCTCCGAAGCCCCGACATCCGAGGTGATCACTGGCGGCTGTCCACCGAATGCAGACAACCCCAGGGCGTCAAAGACGTACCTCCCACGTCGACAGTCGTTAAATTAGATCAAACAGCAAGAGGTAGAGATTAGAGCGAACAATGGAATATTAATGCAACCTTGATAGCCAGTGGCACATCGAGTCTTAAGTTTATGTCTTTCGTGCGCGGTCAAACGGGATCGCTCGCGCTGCCTCACTTGAGCGGTCGATTCCCGGTTGACGCTTGGTGATGCCTCGGCTCAAGACAGCCTTCCAACGCCGACTTTCAAGGTTTCCGCTGATCCCTCCATCATCTTCCTACGCTGTTTGGAGGCTCGCTACCTCATGGTAAATTATTTGCCGACGGAATCTTCCCTTTGCCCACTAACACTGCAGACATCTCCATATTCGTTTGCACCCCTGCGTTTTCTGCTTTGTTCAGTCTTGTTTTGTTGGGTCTGTCGTGCTTTGGTGAAGTAGTGTCCAGTGCACCCGGCATAAAGAAATAGTTCGTTCTGATTGCTTCGTTGTTGCAAGGCCCTTTTTCTGGATTTCCACGCTTGCCGTTTTCTTGACACCGAGATAACTATAACATAATAATTCGCCCAATGGCTGGGCAATCGAAAGCACGGCTCTCTCCGTGGGAGAGCGCTGTTGCTGGTGCCACTGGAGCTGTCCTTGCAAATGCAATCGTGTATCCGTTGGACATGTAAGCGGAATCCAAATATCAAGAAAAGTCGTGGTACCAGTATTAACGTATGACAGTGTTAAGACTCGCCTCCAAGTCCAAGTGAAATCGCAAAAACTGACGAACGGAAACGCCAACCATGATGACGACCAGCAGCATTACGAGTCCACGTTGGATGCGATCAAGAAAATAATTGCCTATGAGGGCGTCGAAGGGCTATATTCGGGGATTAGTGGCTCCCTGGTCGGTGTGGCCTCGACAAATTTTGCATATTTCTACTGGTACTCGATCGTGCGAACCCTATACATGAAATCGAACCTCCCTCATCCTCCCAATACTGCCATCGAGCTCTCCCTTGGTGCGATTGCTGGTGCTGTTGCCCAAATTTTTACGATACCAGTTTCGGTTGTCACAACCAGACAGCAGACTCAAAAGAAGGGCGAAAAGAAAAGTTTCATGGAAACCGGCAAGGAGGTGGTCAATAGTGATGACGGCTGGAGTGGATTATGGAGAGGACTAAAGGCCAGCCTTGTTCTTGTTGTGAATCCAGCAATCACATACGGAGCCTATCAACGATTGAGGGATGTTATCTTTCCTGGGAAAACCAATCTGAGACCCTGGGAGGCCTTCGGTGGGTGACGTCTGTTGCACCATACAAGAATTTGGGCTAATATACTATGCAGTTCTGGGAGCCTTGTCTAAGTCGCTTGCTACAATTACTACCCAGCCATTGATTGTCGCGAAGGTGGGCCTACAATCTCGTCCACCGCCATCGAGAGAAGGAAAGCCTTTCAAAACATTTGGCGAAGTCATGGCCTACATCATTGAGCACGAGGGAATTCTTGGTTTGTTTAAGGGAATTGGACCTCAGATCCTCAAGGGTGTTCTGGTCCAAGGCCTATTGATGATGACCAAAGAGAGGTAACTGCTAATCATATCTTCGTTGTTGCTTTTATTCTCAGTCTACTAACCAAACTACCGTAGGATCGAATTGCTTTTCCTTTTATTCTTCGCCTACCTTCAGAAGGCGAGGAGGAACAAGCTTAAAGAAATGGCGAATGCTGCAGCCGACAAAGCAAAGAGCACATTGCCGCTCACAACGAAATGAATGGCGACTCAGTACCTGCCTAATTCTTGCTTTCGGTGACTTTCTATATGGAATTATATATCCGTACAAAAGGGGTTTGAAGAGCTCCATGCATTTATGCTTCTATTTCTCTGTTTAGGGTGGATTGGTAAAGGCTTCGCACTTTGTTTCTTCCAAAGTTTGGTCGGTTTCTTGGTTCAAATGTGGGAGTTGGATCCGAAGAAACAACGGAACCTTGTGTACATGTATTGCTTTCAATGTACTCTGTAGATAGAATGCAAAACCAATACAAGTAGACTTCTAAAATAGCCCCTTTTAGGCCTGGAACGCAAACGTGCAGATGCAAAATACCGAGGTGACTTGGTGGCTAAGTTGCTTCCCTGCATTATCCGCATCCAGATCCCTGGCCAACGGTACCGACGCAAAACAAACATGCCACCACCCCAACGCCTTGAATCTTCAACGCCAACCTTCAACGAGCCACGCGAGATATACGACAGCGATTCTTCCACTTAAAACGCTCAGCTAGTCATGAAATGGCTGTTCTGGGCTTCACCACCGCAAGATGACTCAAACAGTAATAGCGGCGCTGCTTCACAAGTGAAATGCAGGAATAATGAGAACGTGGACGTGCCCGCACCGTCAAATGCAGCACCTCCCTCCGACCGCACAATATCTAAAGTCCAATCCAGCAGCAGAGATTGGAATTCGATAGTTAACGCGACGGACTGGAAACAATTCACTGAGCCCAGGACGATTATTCCCACAGCCCTGGTAACTGGAGGCATCTTGCTCTGTGTGCACATCCACCGAAAGTACCTGCGGCGGATACCCGAAGCGGGGCACATCTCGCCCTCTTTCTTCAGGCGACGGAGTCTGCTGGGTAAGGTGACCAGTGTCGGAGATGGTGATAATTTCCGGATGTACCACACCCCCGGCGGAAAGCTGGGTGGATGGGAGTGGTGGCGGAAAGTGCCCACGGGAAAGAATGAGTTGAAGAATAGGACTGTATGGTGACGGCCTTTCGTTTTCTCTCCTTGTACAGTGCCTTTTGTGCTGTTTCTGCTTCTTATGGGCAGTCCAAGAACGGTAGCGGGGAGGAAAATGACCATTTGACTGATTTTTCTATACTCTTTAAAGATCCATGTCCGTCTCGCAGGCGTTGACGCCCCTGAACTCCCTCATTTCGGCCGCCCCGCCCAACCGTTCTCCCAAGAAGCACATTCGTGGCTGACAAACTACATTCTGGGCCGGCGTGTTCGAGCCCATCTCTATCGTCCCGATCAATACGGGCGCGTCGTGGCCACAGTGTACGTCCGTCGCTGGCTCTTCTTCAGGCAAGATGTCGGGCTGCAGATGTTAAAGCATGGTCTAGCGACGGTGTACGAGGCGAAGACGGGAGTAGAGTTCGGCGGAGTGGAGCTAGAGAGACAGTATCGAGAGGCAGAAGCATGCGCTAAGAAGAAAGGGAAAGGGATGTGGAAAGCGTTGAAGGGAGGGACGAAAGGAGAGTGGGAGAGCCCGAGAGAGTATAAGACGAGAATGGCAGCAGAGGAAGGGCAGAAGAAGAACGCTCGGGGGATTACGAGGAAGAAGTGATGAATAACATCCTCCTGTTGGGATGGATACCGTTTGGGCCTTTTGTGTCAAGCCGTGGAGTTGGTTGGAGTTCTGTGCTGTCGTCCCTCTAATACCCGTTTGCATGAGATGGCTATACTTGGCTACATGTGATGATGTCAACCTGACTACTGTAACTACGCTCTTTTTCAACATTATTAATGTGTGATGTGAATCATGAACATGTGTTATGAATAAGTTGGAGTGCCCTATGTACTGTACATAGCCAAAAGGCAAACAGGGAGCCAATAGCTCTAATTAAACACCAGTGCTAACAGATACCGCGCTGTGGCTGGGTAATCTAGATAAGAGGATATAATCTTTAATTATTTCATGGCCGAGACAGGTCCCATTAACCGAACCTTCTTTCAACCTCAGCAAAAAGCTTGGGGCTGATTTCATCGCTTGAGTTACCCTCAACCCGCCACAAGCATCCTTGCTTTTCATAGTGGTCAAGTAGCGATTGGCTAGTTTCTTCAAACTTCTTGAACCTCTCCTTCCAAACATCGGTTGAATCATCCTGCCTCTGAACCAATGCCTCTCCTGTTATATCATCTTTTCCAGGGACTTTTGGTGCATTGAATTCTGTGTTATATACCCGTCCCGAAGCCGGATGAACCCATCGGGACGCGATCCGGGAGAGAATGACGGCAGGAGGTGTAAGGAGTTGCACGACAAGGTTGATGGGGACTAGGCTTTCTAGGCTGGATGCTTGGATGGCTGTGCGTGGGAATCCGTCGAGGATAAAGGAAGCGGAAGGATCCAGGCTTGCCGCCGCTGTGGGCGATGACGATCCTGGAGCGGGTTTAGAAAGCCAGCCCTTCGAGGCAAGCTCTGATGATATTAGGTCCAGTATCATCGCATCTGGAACGAGACTTCCTGCTTGGATAGCGGCCTCCGCTTGGATACCTTTATATTATGTTACTTTCATTCCGTCTCAGAGCGGAGTAAAGGATGATGTAGTGAATACAAACCTAAGGGTGTTCTATTGCGAACATGGTCTCGAAGCAGATCCCCTGAGCTGATGGAGGCGAGTTGGGGGTATCTCTTGATCAGTCTCTCGGTTTGAGTCCCTTTTCCAACGCCAGGAGCGCCAATGAGTATGATCCGGGCGGCTTTTCTCAAACTTCTCGTGAGAACGGTCATTCTTTATTGACACAAGCCGGCAAACACAGGTTCCAGATTTTTCGATATCGTGGGAAGATCGATGGGTACGGATCGGGCAAACGGAGGTGCCACAGAGGTAGGACTGCCAAAAGGCAAGGAAACGAAGGCACCCACAACTATATCATCCTGGTCAAGTGGTTGACGTGAGGCTTCGTAGGAAAGTCCAACAATATTGGTACGATCTGGGATCTGGGGTGGAGGAAGGAGAAGGATATATAATAATAATCTTATGGATCAAGGACCTTTTTATTATGGTAGCTGGCGATCAATGGATCAATGGCGACTGTCGATTTCTCGTTGGGGAGTCGGAGCATCATCGCCGAGCTGCTGAAATTTCCCCGGATGAGTCAGCCGGCGGACCGTGCAGTGCAGCTCGCGAGCCAATGAGGCACGTGAGCCGGCCAGGGGGCTCCACCACCGAGCTCAGGAACATCGTCTGTGGAGTGGCCGACGTCGGAAACGACCGGCTCAGACGCACTCGTCGCCCCGCCATCATCCACGAGAAGAGTTGAAACAACTGACTTGGGGCAACTTTTGGGAGTCCCGCCCAGCGAGGGACAAGAAGCCTGGTTTATCATGTGACAATGCCATTGAGAGGAATAATGTCCCAACGCAATACTCCGTACCGTTTACGCGACCGATTCTCTCCACACAGACATCCTGGGCACGGGCCTTATCTGGGGTGCATATAACCATAATCCGGCGGCCACTATTCTCTCATGGCGCCATAAAAGAACTCCAACTTTCGGCTAGAGGAACCGTGTTATCTTGGCCATCATCTTCAGAACAAAGACTACTCCATACTCCGTACAGCACTCCACTACTGCCGCTCCACAATTATTGCGAAAAAGGTATCAAAGTTCGACAAGCAGCCCCCGCTGCTTCGGCGCAATGCCCCGAGCTGAAAGGGCAAGGCTATAACGGCGCAGAGGCGATAGACACCAATATGCAATCAATCTCTGACGCAGGCCAAATAGTAACACCGGCACATATTGCCGTCGTTGTCACGTCCCGGATTTTACGACTCGACATGCATTCCCCAGACCCTGCAACCAAAGTATCATGAGCTATGCCCCTCTCCTACTTTCATCGAGAAGATTCCAAGAGCTTAAATGTCCCAAGATTTAATTGAGGATGGATGAAGAGTAGTCCCGACATCATTTTCCCTGTTGTCCGAAATGGCAAACTGAGCCGTAAAGTCAGCAGAGAACGCAATGGATGGATACTTTAGATTATAAGCACTGTACTCCGTAAGCTTTGACCTTGTAGAACAACTATGTAATTCGTACATTCTCTTTTCTCCACTACTCGAATCCCCAGTCCTCTTCAAACATGTCGGATTGAAAACTGTCGTGCATATCACGTGATTTATATGGCGTACCTACCGAGGGCGCGTCGAGACGCGTCTTTAGTTCACGAACTTGTCGAACTGAGCGTCGACGGTGGTAACGATGCCCTGACAGCACCTTGAATTACTCAACACAGCTGCATTATTCAAGATGGTCCTGTACGATAGAAGTCGAATTGATCCAAAGCGTCGTGCTGGCGTCGACTACAAACGGAAGCAATTCGCAGCTCCGACATACAAGCAGCAAGATTATGCCCACCGATTGAATTTCTACGAAGTTCCGCCCACCGCTGAAATTACACTCGAGCAGTTTGAGCAGTGGGCGATTGATCGCTTAAGAAGTATGTCGTCCGCTGTTTCTGCTATGCTCAAGACAATTCTGGCTCACAGACTCCAGTTCTTTCGGAACTAGAAGCATGCTCGTATCGAAACAAGACCCCGGAGGAAACCACCGAACATATAAAATCCCTTATCCGAAAATTCCTCCCACTACGTTCGAATAGGGATGCAGGTTCGCGCGACAGTCAAGGTTTGAGGGATGAGCGACAAAAGGATCACTATTCCCATTTTATACTACGACTGGCATTCTCCTCGACTGAGGACTTGAGGCGACGATTTGTTCGCCTTGAGACAATGCTTTTTAAATTTCGTTTCCAGCTAGATGATTCAGCAGAGCGGGAAGCATTTGTGGAGAGCCTTAATTTCGATTGGGATATACTGAGTGAAGAAGAGAAAGATGAACTGAAGAACGAGCTCCATGCGACAACCCCTGGGGTGAAAAGGGACAAGGGTTGGTTCAAGGTAGACTGGGAGAAAGTGCCAGAGCTAGTTGAACGTAGAAGCGTTTTTGTGAAGAAAGGCAAGGCGTACGTTCCTCTAGGAGAACAGCAGAGCATGATCCTCGCCGAATTTAGTGCTCGACTAGAAAAGGCTCTTGAGGTTGGTGCAAAATATCGATCTCTGTCACTACGGATGCATTTTCTGACTTGAGGAACAGTTTACGAGCCGAGCCTTGCCACGACTAGATGAAGATAACCGTCTTATTCCGATCCTTGAACACCTTTCGAAAAACTTTGGGACTTCCGACACTTCCTACTCTGAGGGGGAGGGGGCGGTTCCTGGAGCCCCTATCACTGCTGCATCGATTGATGTTTTATCCAACCATTTCCCTCTCTGTATGCGAAACCTCCACATGCAATTACGCAAAAACGCCCACCTTAAACACTTCGGTCGACTTCAATACACATTGTTCCTCAAGGGAATTGGCCTGTCACTCGAGGACTGTATACTATTCTGGCGGCAATCTTTCAGAAATTTCACCGACGATGAGTTCAATTCCAAATATAAATATAATATTCGCCATGCATATGGCGATGTTGGAGGTGACGCAAATCGGCGAGGAAGGGGATACCCTCCATATTCCTGTCAAAAGATTCTCACGGATAATGCCCCGGGTGCCGGGCAAACTCACGGTTGCCCTTATCGTCACTTCTCTGTCGACAACCTCATCGCCCTTCTTCAAGCCACTGGGGTAAACGACAGAGAGACATTACACGGAGTACGAGAAGATGTCGGAAGAATGCGATACCACATTGCTTGCAACCGAGTTTTCGAATATGTGCACAAAGATGAATTAAGAAAGGTAAAGGATGAAGGAATAATGAGCTCGACCGACCTCGACACAATTGTCCATCCTAACACGTTTTTCAAACGCAGCTATTTGCTGAAGAACTTGGGGAGGGTGCCGAAAGAAGATATCCAGATGACAAAATAGTGATGGCTTTTATGATCAACATGGGTTGTTGTATACGTGAATACTTAGTATGACGACTGGTTTCTCGTTAAATTACGGCGTTATTGCCAGGGTATATGGATTTGAATGGGTTGGGCAATTGGGAGATAGGCGGATTGCTATTAATTAAGCAGGGTTTTAAGCTGCGCGTTATCCGCAGGAAAGGTCCTTCAGAATGTCCATCGACGTTTGAACCCAAATTGTTTTACAAGACGGGTCTCATTTCGCAGCTTAGACCTTGTCGTATTTCAGAGTAGAACCGGATATCATTATTAGTATGTTACCGCGGCTGATTCCCGATCGATCGTCAAGCATCAGAATGAGCTTTCAAAACCAGGTGCCCAGCGATGGGTAGAAATTTCTTATACGCTCGACGCGAAAACAGCAACGTCACTAAGAAAAGACAGAAGCTGGCATCGTAATGTGTAAAGTCGGCGATGTAAATGTAGATGAAGAAAAGAAAAAAAAAAAAGGAAAAGAAAAAAAAAAAAGGAAGCTCGGGGGAGTCGAGATCGAGCTTTTTAACCTGTGCGCTAGCGTGCTACGGCGGACCGCAGCAACCACAAATCCTGCAACCTGGCTTCATCCCTCGTTGACCTCATGAACCACATGAGGATACTCCCGGAATGCCCTCCGGCTCTCGCCATTGACAGAGATCTGTTCCCTGCCTGGCATTTAAGGCTTTAATGATATTATGTTCAAGGCGAGCTTTTGCTGATATTCCTTTCTAAGCTTTTTTGTATTTCGCTATTCCATCTAGCCCTTAGCCCCTCAAACGGAGTTGGCCTTGGAACTACCATTTCGCCATGGATTACGAAGCGTTGAAGGATCAGTGGAGTGAGATAGAGGATCGAGATGGCATTAGACTGAGCTGGAATACCTTTCCAAGCACACGCATGGTCTGGCGATGCTCTGATTGAACGGCTCGTTCTCCGTTGCTGATAGATCCATAGGAAGCATCCCGCTTGGTGGTACCCATTGGAGCAATTTATACACCGTTGAAAGAGAGACCGGATGCCCCATTACTGCAATATGAACCTGTGACATGCAAGCAGCCCTGTAGGGCGGTTCTTAACCCATATGCGTATGTGATTAGCTTTCGCGAACATCGGTCGTGCCCGCCCACTAACGTGCCGCAGCAATGTTGACATCCGTGCGCGCATTTGGATATGTCCGTTTTGTCTCCAGCGCAATCCTCTACCTCCGCATTACAAGGATATTACCGAAAATACCATCCCACCGGAGCTACATCCTCAAAGCACGACAATTGAATACCAGCTCGCACGCCCAGCGCCTGCTCCGCCTATTTTTCTGTTCGTTGTTGATACTTGCCAAGAAGAGGATGGCTTGAAGGCTGTGAAAGACTCTCTTGTGATGAGTCTCTCGTTGCTGCCACCAAATGCACTCGTTGGTCTCATCACCTTTGGTACTATGGTAAGGGCCCTTACTTAGACTTGGAGGCGATATATTGACCTCCGATAGGCCCAAGTCCACGAACTCGGCTACACAGAATGCGCCAAATCGTATGTATTCAAGGGCAGCAAGGACTACACTCCGAAGCAAATACAAGAGATGCTTGGCCTACTTGCACCTGGCCTTCGGGCGCCGGCACCACAGCAGCAACCTGGCAGACCTGCTCCTGCAGTCGCACCAGCCGCACGTTTCTTACTCCCTGTGCAACAAGCGGATTTCCAAATCACCAATGTGCTGGAACAGCTTCAACAGGATCCCTGGCCTGTTGCGAATGATAGACGTCCATTACGGTGTACCGGAGTAGCTCTTAGTGTCGCTATTGGGCTGATGGAGACCTCCTTCCAGAATGCGGGCGGTCGCATCATGCTCTTCACCAGCGGTCCCGCAACTGAAGGTCCGGGCTTAGTAGTTGGGCCCCAGTTGAGAGAACCTATACGTTCTCACCACGACATTGATCGCGACAACATTAAATACTACAAAAAGGCAGTCAAGGTATGAAATTCTCTATGCGTCTGTTAAAGCATCGCTGCTGACAGTTTTCAGTTTTACGATAATTTAGCCAAGCGTGTCTCCCATAACGGCCACATTGTTGATATCTTCATTGGATCGCTCGACCAAGTTGGTCTCCTTGAAATGAAGGGTCTAGTAAATTCGACTGGTGGTCACATGGTATTGACTGATGCTTTCACGTCCTCCCAATTTAAGCAATCGTTTGTGCGCGTCTTTGATAGAGATGCGAATGATAACCTTGTTATGGGCTTCAATGCGGCACTGGAGGTCCTTACCACGAAAGAACTGAAGGTCACTGGTCTCATTGGACATGCTGTCTCATTAAACAAGAAATCAAGCTCTGTTGGAGAAACGGAGTGCGGAATCGGCAATACGTGTTCCTGGAAGATGTGTGGAATCGACCCAGCCGCCAGTTACGGTATCTACTTCGAGATTGCAAATCAAGGAGGTCCGGCTCCGATGCAGCAAGGGCCTCACAAGGCTATGATGCAATTCTTGACCTATTACCAGCACTCTTCCGGCCAGTATCACCTCAGGGTTACGACGGTTGCGCGGCCACTGAGTAGCCCAGCAGGAGATTCTGCCCTCGCCCAATCGTTCGATCAGGAGGCTGCTGCGGTGCTAATGGCCCGTATCGCTGTCTTCAAGGCAGATGTGGACGATGGCCCTGACGTTTTGAGGTGGGTAGACCGCATGCTCATCAGACTTTGCTCGCGCTTCGCAGATTATCGCAAAGACGATCCTACATCATTCCGGTTAGAAAAGAATTTCACTCTTTACCCACAGTTTATGTTCCACCTTCGAAGAAGTCAGTTTTTGCAGGTCTTCAACAATTCTCCCGATGAGACCACATTTTATCGACACGTTCTAAACCACGAATTCGTTGGAGACTCTCTAATTATGATCCAGCCCACTCTGGATTCTTATTCGCTTGACCATGAAGGGGCCCAACCAGTACTCCTTGACTCCGCCTCCATCCAGCCGACTCACATTCTTCTTCTTGATACTTTTTTCCACATTCTTATTTTCCACGGTGAGACCATGGCTGCGTGGAGAAAGGCAGGTTATCAGGACAAAGAAGGCTACGATAACTTCAGAGCCATCCTAGAACAACCCAAGGAAGACGCCAAGGTATGATTTCCTATACGAGGACTAATCGCTCTAAGGGATATTCTAACTTCCCTACAGGAACTCATTCAAGACCGGTTCCCGCTACCGCGGTTCATTATCTGTGATGCCGGAGGTTCACAAGCTCGTTTCCTACTTTCCAAACTTAACCCTTCCACTACTCACTCCAGCGGTGGTTACGGTGGTACCCAATCTGGTCAGACTATATTTACGGATGATGTTTCCCTTCACACTTTCATGGAGCATTTAATGAAGTAAGTACACACGTTCCTACTGGTTTGCACGAGTGGTCCTAATGAATCCTATAGGCTGGCGGTGTCAGGTACCAATTAGGCTCATTAATGTGAAATACTTGTCAGGGCTTTGCCCGGAAAGGTGGTACAGTCTTATGTATTAAATCTTAGCTAGAAGTTTTTATTTTTCAGGTATTTCTTCCGCCACTGCGGAGTAGAGCCCAGTAGGTAGGTACCAAAGGAATCGGTGAAATTATTCCGCCGTAGATTTAGTCACGTGGGAAGGTTTGCCCTAAGCCGTCGCGGTTTCGCTTAGTTTGGGCGACATTGAGAGGATCACCGAATTCTCGAGCTCTCTTTTCTTCAACCACCTCAACGACCCTTCACCACCAAGGAAGACTGACCACCTTTCGCACTCGCCATGCGTAAGTATCGTCTTCTTGTGTGTTATCACGATGGCGGCTGACTTATTTCTTTTTCTTGAATAGCTCCAAAGTTCGATCCCAATGAGGTGAAGATCATGTCAGTTCCGAACTTACCCTCCAAGAAATTAAAGGACAAGATGTGCTAACAAAATGAACAGCCACCTGAGAACCACAGGTGGTGAGGTCGGAGCCCAATCCGCTCTAGCTCCCAAGATTGGTCCTCTTGGTCTTTCTCCCAAGAAGATTGGTGAAGATATCGCCAAGGCCACTGGTGACTGGGTATGTTCAAAGAATCAACAACCGGCGATATCGCAAATTTCAAGCACAATCTAGATGATGGGAGAAACACAAATGTGCTAATGTCTCTATCTTAAAACAACAGAAAGGTCTCCGCGTCACCGTGAAGCTCACCATCCAGAACCGTCAGGCCCAGATCTCCGTCGTCCCGTCTGCTTCCTCCCTTGTCATCAAGGCCCTCAAGGAACCCCCACGGGACCGCAAGAAGGAGAAGAACATCAAGCACTCCAAGTCCATTCCTCTTGATGATATCATTGAGATTGCCCGCACAATGAGAACTCGCAGCTTCGCCAAGGAGCTCAAGGGTACCGTCCTTGAGATTTTGGGAACTGCCTTCTCCGTTGGTTGCCAGGTTGATGGACGAAGCCCCAAGGATGTCAGCGATGATATCAAGGCCGGTGAAATTGATAGTATGTCTCGATGTTCTGGTGCTTAACTGTTCGTATACTGACGTGCATCCAGTCCCATCTGAGTAAACGGTGAATTTACGAATACAAAGAAAAGCTGTAATTTTTTTTTTCTCTGTGCTGGTCCAACACTAAGATATTCTTATGGGCGCAATCATTATGGCTTATGGCATACGCGGCGCTCAAGGAATATTTTTGATTGCCTTTTTTATGTGGTTTACGAGGAATGAGCTACCACAGAAATGCAATATCTGACCTCCTCCATTGAAACGGATTTTCCGATCTCGGCACATCATGTTGTTATCAATCACTGATTATCGAACAAACCCAGGCTTCCGGGTTTCGTTTCCCTCCATTGGAACCTTTGCCACACTCTGGCCTACACCAGCCTAACTTGATGCTAGGCAAACGTACCTCACGGTATGGGCTTATTTTGACGCAAAGGAGATCAACGACGTTTATCAACGTCATGACCGACTACTCACCGCGGTATTCTTGGGGTTGCTGTTTTTCCTTCTGGAGAATCGGCGCTCGAAGTGGATACAGTGGTCCATCATTTATGGTCGACATCTCACGCTACTACTACTATGTAATGTTTTAATGTTAAAGCAAAAAAAAAAAGAAAATAACTCTGGTATCTCTTATTGTAATTGAGCCTTGATACTCACTTTCCATATTAAGTACCTAACAAGCCCAAAAAAGCGGTCGTAGGACTTTGATGTCATTAAATACCTCCTCCTCACCCTCCACATCCCGACATCATCAGCTGAGCAATTCCAAGAGCTCGCGCCTAAAAAAGCCTTGTTTGGACACCTGACATCCAAATCAAAACTGCAAGTCTTGGATGAGTGGAGCCATTGAGTCATCGCGACCCCGATGGATGGTTATAAGATCAGTCCCTTTTCATCTTCATCCCTACCTCTACATGGCCCGTCAGTGTTAAAAATTGGGTTGTTGAGCAGCATGGACGGAATCCTCCGTACAGAGCACGATACAAACTCATGTAGGTTATGTAGTGTATGTAGGTCAAAAGGTTATCTTCCGCTTTGCTATGTATGCTATTGAGGGGGTGCACACATGACAATGTCTCCGAGAACGGAATGGGGAGGAGGTCACGGAGGCGGTCGCAGGAGATCTTGAACAACTGTCCCGGAGGGGATCCGGATGTACGGAATGCAGACAACTAAAAAATAAAAAAATAAAAAAATAAAGCCAAAACTTATTGGCTCTGCATGGCTTTTTTCTGAGATCCCGCAGTTTCGGTGTCTGGCGGCGGTGCGTGTTGACCTATCGTTGCATGATAATTTGGACAATGGGGCTTTTCCAATGGATGACATCAGATTTGCGAAGTTTTTTTGCTTCAATATTTGCTTTTTCCTTTTTCCTTGTTCCTTTTCTTTTCTTTCTTTTCTTTTCTTTTTTTGTTAAATTTTATGTTTGTGTTTCCCTCACTCCTGCAGGAGTCCGACTGCGACCTCTTCCATTTCCCTTCTATTTGCGACGCCGCAAAGCTCGGAATGCACGATTTCAGTAGTTTATGTAGGTCTATACTGGGACTCGCCTCTTGCAGGCATTCAGGTATGTACGTTGTATGTCAAACATAAAGTCAGCATCTTCTCGGTACGGCATGTCTGTACTCCGTACACCTTTTATGCATATTATACAATAGGGAATCTGGTCAGACACCGTTCAGCCTGTGCAGGATCGAAAGAAATCCAGCCCAGCTGTCTGCTTTTTCTATCCCAACATTTTCAACGGTCAGCTCCTGGAGATGTTGGGTTTTAATTTCGAAGCAAATAGAAGACTCTTTTAAGGGTGGGTACGCGTTCCCTTCCCCCCAGTAAATGAATAATATGGCAGCCTATTACCGCTCTGTGGGATGCATATTCAGATGCATATTCCAGGGATGGCTGCAGGCTTTGTGAGAGGGACGATCGTCTTGTCCCGCTGAGTGGAGGCTTGGCTCTTGTGGATACACCCTTTTTTAACCCATGTCGCAACCCAGGCATTTTAATTTTGCAGTGCCATGAAGTACATTTTGGCTTGCTTGGGCCCAGCCACTAGTCGGGCGGTTTGCTCAGGCGAAGAAGGGGAGAAGAAAATGAAGAGAAAATCGAGAGGATGAAGTGGAGACCTGGTATTATCGCTCTCCGCCGTGGTCCCGGGGGTGGTTGTTTTGAAGGGACATTAAAACTTGAAAAAGATTTATTTATTTTTTTCTTAGAGGTTTTTGTCTTTGAAGGGGGAGATGTGATGAGTGTGACTGGCTGTGCGCTGTGGATGGTGCCGGTACGATGTACATATGTGAGCAAGGCCAGGTCAAAGGACGAGAAAGCTGTCCATTTCTCTGGAGACCAGGCGTGCGTGAGAGGAAAAGAAGCGCCATTGAGGATGGATACGTACCCCATCCATGGTCCAATGGTTCGTGAATACCGCTTTGGCTTCTCCATAGAAGCTACTGGATCAGCCCCCGGTGGATCCACGGCGTGTCCACACACGCATTTCGCACATCCCATCAGATGAGTGCGCAGAGCGAGCAAGACCTGCCAGACAGAAAGAACCAAGCTGCGAGGACTGTTTCAACACATATGAAGTATCCATGCTCATTCGCCAGTGCCGAGAGCACGCGGGCAGAACTCACGTCAAAGAAGAGGGTTCGCTATGCATCCTGAAGTGACACGAGGATTGTCCGGGTTATTAATGTACTCCCGTCCCGGTCAACCACGGCCTGGCTGTGGCTTGTCCGTAAATGATGCGGGAAGGCAAAAAAGTCAAGCGCGGCGTCCTCGCACAGAGCGAACGGCGTACTTATTCGTCGAAGCTGCTCCCAGGGAGAAGTCTCAGCTCCCCTTCCTTTTTTTTTTTTTTTTTTTTTTTTTTTTTGCTTTGCTTGAACCGTCCGTGTTGTGCTGCCATTTCTGCGGCCCCGGAGAGCCATCTATTGTATATCAGATGGGGATTCCCCTAGTCTCGTATCACACAAGTGCTCCGATGAAGACTGCTCCACGTAATGTGATTCGGCATCGAAGGTGGTGTAGGGGGGTTGTTATTGTCAGGCTGTCACCCATTCAAAGCCACACACACACACACACCCCAAGGGGCGTCTAACGGCCTCCGTTCCCACCATGGACTATTCGGATTCCTGAGCATCTTCCACCGTAGATATAAGCGGCTGAGAGATCTGTCCTTCTTGTGCGAGGGATTTAATAAAAATAAAAAAAAATAAATAAAAGAAAAATAAAAAAAAGAAAGAAAAATTCAAAAGAAAAATATAAAAAGAAAAAATAAGAAAAATAAGGCCCCACTGTCGACCCGAAACCCTCGTGCATTACCATCATCAAACAGCTTTTTAGGGTTGGTTCAATCGTGAAACTCAGGCATCCTCTTCCCTGAAGCTGATCCAGCCCGCCGCCCACTTAGACTAAAACTGGGCCCTGTCACCGCCCGTTCCACCTCTTGGACACTTTTTTCCCGCGATTCTCGCTCCCTAAGAACCCACTCGTCGCTCGTGGGCTCTAATTCCTGGTCTATCAACCGGCCATCACACGTTCTGCTGGCGAAGAGTGAGAAAACAAAGATAAATATAATTCACAGGGCACGTCAGTTTCTGCGGCGAGCTCTGCCCTCTGCCGTTCCTGCGCCCGGGTGTATTAATAGAATCTGGATGTGCTTTGATCGTCGCCCGTTGTTCGACATCACCACAAATACCTGGGGCTCCCGTTCCTTGGCCGGAGTTACATAGCCCTTGACCGGCCACCACCACCACCATCAAACACCACCACCACCACTCCTCCATCATCGCCGCCATCTCCCCCATAAAAGTTGGCTTTTCGACTGATTTGTCTTCTGTCCCCTAATCATTTTCGAGCTTGGTGGCCTGACGATCGAGGCTGGACCTTGTCTGGCTGCACCTGAATTGCCGTTTCGCTCTCCCCTCTCTGCCGTCTCCTTCTGTCACCGCTGCTTATTAGCGCCGTCCTCTGTCTGCCCATTCATGCTTTGTACCTCACTGGTGAGTGATGACCGAGTGAGCTGTCCGACGCTCTCCTCGTGATGCTTCGATGTACCTCGGGGCCTCGTTGCCGCTGTTCATCTTCATTTCCCTCCTTCTTTTCTGTCATCGTCCTATCCCTTTGGCGCCGAGTTTTCTCACCAAGGGACACCCTAGCAATTTTCATTCACTATCTCACCGAAACAAATTCGACCAGACAGCTCCCAACCCTAACCGCCCGCAGACACACCCTCCCCTCAATTCTCACCCATCGACAGTCACTTTTGTCTCGGATTCTCTCTTACTGACCGCCTTCCCGGAAAACAGAAAGCAGAAGCAATCCACATACCAAAAACCTTCCGATCGGTTTAGGGTGTTGCCCGTACTCGATAAAAAGTACTCTCTACCTTCGACAAGCCGACGCCAGGTTTCAGCTGACTGTCCTCGAGAAAAATTCCCACCCACTTTTGGCGTCTTGTGATTGGGGTTGACTTTTTCCTCCCCTCTCTCCTACGTGCCATTCCGGACGATCAACACGCCTGTCGATTGGAACGTGGAGGCGATTAGCCATTGTTGCGCAGTGATTAGCGTCTGTCATCCTGCGGAGCATCCCGCCGCCAGTCGGAGAACCTTGCCCTATTTATCGAGCCTCTCCGTGTTGTCACACAATCACCGTTATATCCATCAGGATATTAGGTCGATAGCCCCATCGAATTCTCTTGACTCCCCACTGAATGCCAGAGACTTGCCGCCCCGGAACCCGGACTCATTGTTGTATACTCAGGCACTTTTCGTGAATGGCGGATCGTGAGCAGGCTATATCTACTTGCTGGGACGTCGATTGACGGTGCCATGATGAGGTGTCGGAGACGATCAAGAAGATTGTTTGGTCGATGAAAGAGGACGGACAAACAGCCCATCTTGTTTGCCGCTCTTTCCACACTTCACCCTTGGGATCCAATCTGTCCATTGTCGATCCTGGCATAAGAGGACAGCGCTCTTCACCCAACCGCAATCATGCTGCCGTCAGTAGCCCAGCCACCATCGCATCATTTCCTGCCGCACAACCACCTGGACCACGACCTGTCATTCGACCCGTTGCACACGTTATATGACGGCGCGACCGGTGCTCTCTACCCAAACCAGCGCCATGGGGCCATGGACCAACATTCTGCTGCGTCGCTGCAGCCCACCCCGGCATCGAGAGTTCAATACATGCGTCCGATCCAACGACCGAATCCCCGCCCCACCATTGGTGCAGGTCAATTGCGTGATGTCAATGGCTTAGAGAGTACTCTTCGCC